ATGGGAGAATTCGCAACTTTACCACGTAATATAAAAAAACCTGGGCCATATTTTGAAAATCTGAAAAGAGTTGGCTTATCTAGAGACAATTGCCCGTCGATAGCCGCAAAAATCATGAAAATCGGCCCGGTAGAACGCTGGAACTAAGCGTCACCAGTTTCGCAAAATTAGGAGGTCTTGGAGCTTATAGTATAGATGGGTCTCAGGGCTCATGTCTCAATGCACATCGTTCCGTTTGGCAGAAATACGTCCAGTTGATAGCCTGTGATGTTGAACACAACATCATAGTCATATTAGCGAAATTTTCCCGGTCCTTTCGGTCCAATCCGTTCCATTTTGTTTCCCAGTTTGTTAGTTACGTTCTGATCCGTTTCGTTTCGTTCCGCTCCGTTCCCTCGCAAAAAACTTTGCGACTCAAGTCTCATTTCTGTCGGGTCGAGAAAACTCTTCGCTGAAAAGCATACTCCGGTTTAAGTAAAGAAAGAATGGAAGAAAAATTACAAACTAAGAATGAAAGAACCGAAAAGGATAATGTAAAAATGTAAAAAACATTTAAAGAAAGTATAGAGAAATGAGTTTTTTTTACCTATTCTCAAGTAAGGTTGCCGCCAAGAAAAGTAACGAAAATGTTTGAAGTCAATGTATAAAAGAAATAAAAAAACAAAAAATTTCAGTGAAAAAAGGGGTAAATGAATTTCGGTCTAGTCGTTGAATTTTTTTGAAAACTCTGTTCACTGAACTAGCATTGTAAAAACCGTTTGCCAAAAAACTCCAAGGCGCTCAAAAATCATGGCTGGCGCTGTAACTGAGGCTTGGCTGTAATGAGACGGAATTTTGGAGCCCCCTGATGAAGAGAGGAGGTGGAATTTTTCGACAAAGTGAGATATTCGCGAACGATACTGAATCCAAAGTAATCCTTTAAAAACGCTGTTCAAATCACTAGTCCCAACTTTGCAACGTCATACAGTGGATCGAGTCAACAGGAAAGGGCGGACAAAATTTTGAAACTTTCAAAGCTTGTAACTTCGTTTGTACAAAATTTTGAGGTTCTAAAAGTGGGTTCATTGGTCTCCTCGTCATAATTTCTTCTTACATCACCCTTTGAAATTTAAAATTTGACGAAATTAACATCAAAATTTGCAATTGTAGTCAACAATTTCACGTCCGACCTCTCTAATGGACCACTAGACAAGGTACGAATTTAAGCGATCTGATACATGTTTCTTAACCAGAATTTCTCGTATTACACGATTAGCGCAACGAATATTACTGAAACGAACTCCTAACGAAGATATTTACGTTTTTATTTCACATTGGTCACGAGGAATTTGAACTGCCCGCTCACAAGAGACTCAAAGCTCTACGTGAGTCAAATCGTGCACTAGAACGATTTCAGCAAACTTCTCAATCAAGCGATGTTCATTTCCCACCATGTGCTGTTCAAACTATAAACAACTTGCAATAGCTGAGCTAAAGCGTCAAGATTAAGGTTGCCAGATTTTTATATCGCAGATACTGTCATGATAACGTTTAGCGCGCGATGTGAGTCACGTAGAGCATTGAGTTTTCATGAGCGGGTGGTTTGAATTCACGCATCAAGAATCATAAAAAATCTTCATAACGAGTTGATTTCGGTAATTTTCGTTGTGCGAATCGTGTTCTACGTGAAATTCTGGTCAAGAAACATGTATTAGAATGCTTAAATTCGTACCTTGTCCATTGGTCCATTGACTCGATCCGCTGTGCGTCGGTTCAATCTGTTCGTGTATGTACGGTAAGATTCAGGACAGTGGCGTGGCGTGAATTGCGATGTATCGATTGTTATGCCATTTAAATCTATGGAGAAGGATCGATAAACAGGGTGTTCGCAGCGAACACCCTAATAATCGATTCTTTACCATAGGTTTAGATGGCATAACAATCGATGTATCGCAATTCACGCCACGCCACTGATTCAGGATAAATATTTTTAATCTTGAACTCGTCTTTCATGACATCGCAAACTTGAATGAAGATCGAATGAATGGGCCTTGTATGAGTTCCAATATCTTTAAATCTGAAAGTAGTGTTAGAGCCTGGTTTTTGTTAGGAATTGCCAATGTAAGTATTATTATATCCGAAGAAGCGAGCATTGTCACTCAGTAATATTTTTCCTTTCACCTGTTACTCTGATATTTTCTCAGCGAATATCTGAGGGAACAATGCGCGGCCTTCGCCGTGAAATTATCTCTGTAAATGCTGAATCTACTGTTCCCGATTGCTTTTGAAATGAAGTGCCGCACCAACCCTCTCGCTCACATCAAACTTTTTTTTATGAATAAACACCTATACCTAGTGGCTCGGAAATAATTTTGTTGTGTCATTCTCTGCTTCAGGTTGTGTGATGGAAACCCAGGATCAAGAGGTTGGAGCCTGGGATGCTGTGTTATTGGACCCTCTCACCGAAGAAGATTTTATCTCAAATCTTCACCAGAGATATAAACGAGATCACATTTATGTAAGTTTTGCTCAGAGTTTTGCTGAAATCACTTAATGCTCTGCATGCATTTTTGAAAAAAAATGTGTATTTCTTTGCGACGTTTAAAAATCCATGATCGTGTACTTATTTAAAAAAAAAAAAAAATAGGAGAATTGGATTACATTTTGCAATAAGGAACCACTATTTCCGGCTCATTTTAGAAACAACATATATGCCGTTGATTCCCCCATGCAAATGAGCGATTGTACGGAAGAGCTAGAGATAGGGGTTCCTTATTGCAAAATGTAATCCAATTAATCAATGTATCCCCCTAAAATTTTCTGTGTGTATGTTTTAATTGGATTGCATTTTGCAAAAAGGAACCACTAGCATTGCAATGTTGCTAAGATTGTGCAACTTCTGTTGTCTTGGAGGAAAAACCCGATTATCCATTAACAGTTTCTATTTTACTCGCTAAAAACTGTAAAATGACAAAAATTACCATCTAAACATAGTTTTTCACGATTTGCGCAATTTTATTGCAAAAGATAAGGTTGCACAATCTTAGCATCTTTGCAATGCTAGTGGTTCCTTTTTGCAAAATGCTATCCAATTATCCATGATCGTGTATTTTGAAAAAAAAAAAAGAGAGAACTAATCAATGTATCCCCCTAAAATTTTCTGCGTGTATGTTTTAATTAAGTATGAAAATTCTTGCAATATGAGGTGACGAGGTATGAAAATGAGACTTGACAGTCGACACAGTTTTTTAATCGAAGGCATCATTGCAATGGTTTCAATTTTAGCTCTTCAAGATTTCTCTCCTCCACCTCAACTCAATTTCTATTCCCACAAGAAGAGAGCAAGAACTGTGAGTTAATTACCACTTAATCATTTTCTTGAAAAATATTTAAGGAGAAGAGAGGATGAAGTTCAATTTTTTGCCATAGGTATGATCGTTTTTTTTTTCCTCTTTTTTTTCTTTCTATCCTGTCAGTCTAATCAGTCTTTTTGGTAGCACGTCTCATCTTCGGCATATTTCATCTGATTTTAATGTTTGATCATTCTTCTGTTTTCAGACGTACATAGGAAATTTTTTAGTCTCCCTTAATCCCTACAAAGAGCTTCCAATTTATAGTGCAGAATTAGCATGCTTATATCGGCATAAAGGACCTTATCAGCTTCCACCTCACATGTAAGTACAACCATTTATCACAGTGTAAAAATTAAAAGATTGTCATTGTACGGAATATAAGCAAAACTCAGAATTTAGTCAGAAAAGCTTGTTTTAAAGGTAACTGCTTAAACTGCACCCTCAAATTGAAAAGTTGAAGATGGTCAAAAAGTATATAGGTGTGCCAAATGAATCCAGAGAAGGGTTTAGATTTTTTCCTCATCTCTGTTGATTGAGAGCGAATTAATTTTAAAAATAAAAGATCCTGGACCAGGAATGTAATTTTATGACTTAAAAGCTCCAAAAAACATTCTAACCAAATGAAACACTGTAGTATTTTTAAAAAAATTTAAACTAATGATGAATGATGTTTCATTATAAATCAGTTTCTGCCACAAGTAAGAATAAATTACTGAATAACTGGACATCCAGCTTTTTTGTAGGGTTGTACAAGGTTTGCTCAAAAAAACCTCCCAACTGTAGTTTTTAAGCACAGATCTCTAGAATGTATGTAAAGAGTTGAACATTAATAAATAAAATGTGTCCCCTCAAACGACGTGTTATTCAAGCTGGAAAAGTAGGTATTTAAAGTATTTCTGGGTTTGACATGTTTTTGTAAAGTTAGACATTTTGAAGACACTTCTTAATAAATTTTAAAGCTCACCAAAAGAAGCTATAATTATTAACAGTTTTTTTTGAATGCAATGGTATATGGTAAAGCTGAAACAGAGCTATGCAATTGGTTAATTGCATCATTTAACTCCTTTATCGTACCCATATATATATATATCATTGCACCTCTCCTCGTGACAGACGAAATACTCATTATGTGACCTAATAAATGAGCAATAAAGAAATTAAATGATAAAACCGATCAATTATGTAACTTTATTTCAGTGTATTCTTATCAAGTCTCATCAAGGAATACCCAATTTTGACAATTGGTTTGTAGCCGCAGATATTCTTAAAGAGTACTTTGAACTACAAGAGTCAAAATCTAGAAAAATGGCCATCACATGTTTCTACGCAAGCAGATTTAGTTGATATCTGGAATTATTTTTTGACTTGCTAATAAAAAATCAAATTAACCTCTGTTTTCCCTCAGATTTGCTATCGCTGGATCAGCTTGGCGGTGGTTACGAGATAGAGGTGAGGACCAGGTCATCGTTCTCACAGGCGAAAGTGGTAGTGGTAAGACTGAAGCAGCAAGAATGACGACGCTTTTCGTAGCAGCAGTCAGTGAAAAGGAATCTTTCAGGCACAAACTCACAAGTTCTTCCTTAATTCTTGAAGGTTTGTATTCACACAGTATGCTTTTGGCAGTTCAATGGAACTATGTTTCTTGAATGAAATATAAACACGAACAATTTTAAATTTTCAGAGTAAATAAAGTTCAATGAAAATAAAATTAAAATATGCCCCCTTCTTTTGTTTCTTTATCAATTTTGCAACGTTCTGCAAGCCGCTGAAAGAGCCTGAATAATTTTTAAGAAACATATGGCTTGGTTTCAGGCTTCTGAGAAACATTTTTTCATGTAAACCTAACCCTCAATGGGCAGTTGCTCATCAAAACAGAGGAAAGGAATGGACAAAGGTTTAAACGGATCACATCGAGTCTCATCAAGTTTGAATGGAGAAAAATAGGTTTGAAATTTTTTCCCCCATAAGACCTGTTGTCAAAGACAGAGTTTAACAACTGCTCTCTGGTTCAAAATATTCTATCTTAACTTTGGATTGTCGACATTAGCATATTTATAACTAGTTTGATTCAAAACTACTTTCAACTCGTTTTTTTCCAAAATGCAACTTTGTATGTTTGCTTCCAACTCGATCCAAATGCCCGAACCCTAGGAAAAGAAGAAATTAAGTGTAAATTGACTTTTGATTTTTTGAGAACGAGTTGATGGATCGTATCCACAAAATTTAATCCGAAAATTGGCCTAACTGCACGCCAAATTGATTTTTTGACCTTACTTTTTCAGGTTTTGGTAACGCCAAGACAATGCTGAATGATAACGCTTCCAGATTTGTAAGTATTCGTTCATTGCAGCAAGTTTCCATTTTTGTTTAAAGACAGTTTTATCCAAAAATGATCAACACTTAATAAAATTGTTGAGTTTGAAAACATTCCTCTCCTAAAATTAAGTTTTGCAGATAGACGAGCAAATCTATCTCTAAATCCCTTCGTTTAGAGGGCTAAAGACTACTTTGATCGGTTGAATAGAGACCAATTCAATGCCAGGATAAACTTAAATCTAGTAAAAATTTGAGAAAAAAAAAGGTGCAGCAAAGCACCAAAGCAGTCAGCTATAGTCTCATCAATCAAGATACCTTGTTTTACTTCAAAACTGTTTCAAAACTGTTTCTGTACTCTACCTAAATCTAATTTTTCAACACCTTCTTTTAAATCGGTACCCAGTAGAACATGTAATTTTTACTGGAAGAATCCGCTGACTTATAAAAGGGTGGTCTTTGATACTTACTTACTTCCTTGTATGGGCAGTTCATATTTGGCCCTGAGGAGGCTAATTCAATGTTTTGCCCTAGGCTTTGCATTGATTTGTCTTAATCAGTCTTCACGGCAAAAATAGCATTCTATGACTAAGATAAACATAGGTCTGTCTTCGAAGAAGTTAAATATAATTCATTATCATATTTTTCCAATCATTTTTAAAATTTTTAATAATTTGTATTATGATCGTGAAATATTTTTCTCTACTTCTTGAAATTTTTGTCAACAGGGAGAGTACCTAGAAGTAGAATTCAATCACTGTGGAGAGCCTGTCGGTGGGACGATCACAAACTGTAAGTATTGTTAACCTCAACCTCATTTTCATTTTCCATTTTTCAAATAATTTTGATTATTTTATGTAATGAAAATAGAGGCCAAAATTATCTGAGTGCAAATATTATGAAGAGAATAAACGTTCAGGTGGTTCTACCGCATGTTGTTGAAAGATTCAATAGCTGATCGATCCATCGATGGATTCAGGGTTTTAGAACATTTTTTAAAGAATCTTCTAAAGTCACATCTCACTGTTGTCTGTCAGGTATTTGTGCACAGAATTAGACGGCGAAAAATTAAAGTATCTCCTTAAAGATTATCTCAAATTAAATTACAAATTGATTTGTGTTATACACTTATGCATAATTTCGGAGTTATTTCAAAGTATTTCTCCATCAAACTTTGTGTACAAATACCCGATGTGTTTTAGCATGATAAGGCGTTCGGATATTTTGGAAGAAATGTCCAGAAAACAAGGTATCATTAATTGAAAGATTGATTAATGAATCATTCTTTAAAGTGCGAAAGCACGACTTTGATATTGATAAATTAATAAACAACGGTGTGTATCAAAAAAAAAGTCTTACTTTTATGGAATACTATCAATAATCATTGAAGAAAAAAAGATGATTTAATGATTTTTTTCAATATCTGATGCGTTTATGGAGGTAAGAAGTCGATTCATTGCCGATTTCTACTTTTGGGTTATTTTTGCTTCAGTTTGTCATTTTCGAAAGAGATATTTTGGGATTAGACTCTTGTCAGAAGTCTGTGTTTTCATGGATGTCAAGAGTTAAATCAATATTTTTACAAAATCTCCTTCAGCATCTGATACCCGGTGTTTCACCATTTTAACCATTCACCTTCATATTTGCTGTTTCCATCCAATTTTTGCCTGAATATTCTTCCCGTTTTTGAATATCGCTTTGAGAATTGCCATTACTTATTTTCCACCTTTTATCATGTTTTCTCCTTTTTTCATGCTTTCTTTAGATCTCTTAGAAAAGGTAAGAAGATATAAGTGCTTTTTGAAGCTTTGTGCCATTTTTAAATCATCGCTTCTATTCTTGTTCTTACTGCTAGCAAAGCATTTCAATATCAAGATCTGAAGCTCTGATGTGTCAGAAAAGTTATTTAAAGATTCTCTGCATTCTCTGCATTGTTATTTTTTCAAATCTCATAATAGACAGTACTCATCCGAATCAACGTAACCACATCAGACGTTACTTAAATTCCTGTCATGTTTATTACTCTAAACAACATTTTGACCTTAAAGGAGGAGTTGCGTTTTGGGCCTTTTCCGGCCCCACCTGGATTTTGCTAAATGTTTCATATTTTCAAAGTACTAGTTTTAGGTAGACTCTGTGCCAAATATTAGACCGAACGGAGCCCATGCAAGGGCGCAGCAGCGCCTCAAACCCAAAATCCTGGAATCGAAAAACAATTATTTTCGTCGACTATTTCGACTGTTATCACTCTTCCAGCACATGATTCTTATGTATTTTTTTGCGTACTTTTCGTTTCTGGCCTTTTTAAAGGCCTCCGATAAATTTTAAGGGGCCTTATGGCCCATTGTTGCCATTTTTGGCCCATTTTTAGGGGTTTTTTCCATTTAACACATTCAAAACTCAACTTAATCCAAAAACTGTGTACATTTTTGAAAAGTACATGAAAAAATGAATAAAAAATGTTCAGTAAAATTTTTTCCTATGTTGCCAAATTTCCGAGAAAATTGGTCCCAAAGTGTCGAAAACGGCAAAAAATCGATAAATCTCCGCGTCTAAGGTTCAAGAAAGTGGAGTACATTTTTCATACTGTACCAGATAACAGCTCTTATCCATCCATACAACATACTAAAATATCATAGTTGTACCTGGATTCCCACGATGTGAAAATTGACCGAGATGTCGATTTTAGCGGCCTTTTCATACTTGAAGGCAGCTCTTTTGAATGTTTTTCGACCTTAGTCACCCTCTATGGGTGTGTACTATATGTATTTTTCTACGTACTTTTCATATCTGGCCATAAAAATGGCTTCCTGTGAGTTTTAAAAGGCCTAACGGTCCATTGTTGCCAATTTTTACCAATTTTTAGGGGTCTTTTCAAGTTTACGTGTGTGAAACTTAATTTAATCTAGAAACCGTGTACAATTTCGGAAAGAACGTAAAAAAATACATAGAAACGTGATTTGTACCTTTTCCCTACGTTGCCAAATTTTCGAGAAAAATCGTCCTGAAGCGTCAAAAATGCCAAAAATTGGATTAATCATCACGTCGGAGGTTCCAGGAAGTGAATTTCAAGTTTTTTTTCACTACAAGTAACGTATCGAAAATGGAAAATTGCAATGCATCTCAAGGAACATGTAATGGCGCAGATGAACGTGACAAAACGGGCCCTCAAGGTGCTTTTACTTTATCCTTCACTCCAGTTCACCTCTTTATTCCTGTAACCTCGAGATAATCCTTGGTTCTCAAGATGCTTGCTACAGGCCAAATATACCGAAGAACAGAAAATGCGTGGAGAAAGTGTCCCACGATCCACATGAATGTCATAATTCACTTCCTGGAACCTCCGACGTGATGATTAATCCAATTTTTGGCATTTTTGACGCTTCAGGACGATTTTTCTCGAAAATTTGGCAACGTAGGGAAAAGGTACAAATCACGTTTCTATGTATTTTTTTACGTTCTTTCCGAAATTGTACACGGTTTCTAGATTAAATTAAGTTTCACACACGTAAACTTGAAAAGACCCCTAAAAATTGGTAAAAATTGGCAACAATGGACCGTTAGGCCTTTTAAAACTCACAGGAAGCCATTTTTATGGCCAGATATGAAAAGTACGTAGAAAAATACATATAGTACACACCCATAGAGGGTGACTAAGGTCGAAAAACATTCAAAAGAGCTGCCTTCAAGTATGAAAAGGCCGCTAAAATCGACATCTCGGTCAATTTTCACATCGTGGGAATCCAGGTACAACTATGATATTTTAGTATGTTGTATGGATGGATAAGAGCTGTTATCTGGTACAGTATGAAAAATGTACTCCACTTTCTTGAACCTTAGACGCGGAGATTTATCGATTTTTTGCCGTTTTCGACACTTTGGGACCAATTTTCTCGGAAATTTGGCAACATAGGAAAAAATTTTACTGAACATTTTTTATTCATTTTTTCATGTACTTTTCAAAAATGTACACAGTTTTTGGATTAAGTTGAGTTTTGAATGTGTTAAATGGAAAAAACCCCTAAAAATGGGCCAAAAATGGCAACAATGGGCCATAAGGCCCCTTAAAATTTATCGGAGGCCTTTAAAAAGGCCAGAAACGAAAAGTACGCAAAAAAATACATAAGAATCATGTGCTGGAAGAGTGATAACAGTCGAAATAGTCGACGAAAATAATTGTTTTTCGATTCCAGGATTTTGGGTTTGAGGCGCTGCTGCGCCCTTGCATGGGCTCCGTTCGGTCTAATATTTGGCACAGAGTCTACCTAAAACTAGTACTTTGAAAATATGAAACATTTAGCAAAATCCAGGTGGGGCCGGAAAAGGCCCAAAACGCAACTCCTCCTTTGTTTCGTAACAAGTTCATATTATAGAGGGATAGTATAAAGAGCCTCAAGGTGTTAAAAAGAAAAAAAAATTGTGCAACATGAAATTCTATTCGGATAATTTTTGGTTAAATCCATCCAACTTTAATGTAAATCAATGGGTGTACATTCCAAAGGGTATGTGAAGTATTCACGCTTGTCTTGAGATGTGTCAGGGAGAGTGTAGAAGATCTCTTTCAAGACAATGTAATGAAGAAATGAACAGCAATTTATAGGTGGTTACCTCGCTTATCTCAACATGTTTTTCCACAAGGAAAATTCATTGCTTGAAAGTCCTCAAGCTAAAGTACCAGAATTTTTTGTCCACATTTTTTTTGTCATGTAAAATCAGAGGAAAATAGACTTGAAAGTGAAAAAACTCACCAATTTGCACCTGCAATATGAGAGCTAAACCATGCCACTCTGCTTAAAGAATAAGAAAGAGGGTAAATTTAATATTTTTATCGCTGATGATAATCAGGGGCTGGTTCGTTCCAGATGTCCATTAGCAAAACCGATGAACAGAAGTTTCTTCAACTGTAATGAATCATTTGCGCTGTTTACAGAATTGTGTTTTAATGCTTGATTCTTGTAGATTAGCTGAAAATAATAAGATCTGTCTAAATTGCAATTTTCTATGTTTAATATTAACCGAGTTATGGCGCTTTGAAAAATTCGGTTTATGATGACATATACCACGGTAGTGACATCCTCGATTTCTTCCACTTTTCTTTCATCAGTCAGGGAGATGTACATTTGGACTGGTTACTCAACATGAAACTCGGATGAAAGCAAGGTGGAAGAAACCAAGGTTGTCACTACCGTAGTGGATGACTTTGTAAACCTAATTTTTCAAAGAGCCATATCTCGGTTAATAGTGAACATAGAGAGTTGCTGTTTGATTAGATCTTATTATTTTAGCTAATCTACAAAATCAAGCACCAAAACACGATTCTGTGATTAGCGCAACTGACCCATTGAACCAATTTTCACATCAATACAGAATCGCCCACTTCTGTGTCTCTCCTTGTCATCGGTAACATCTATGAATGAAATTCATCACATTTCAGACTACTGCATAAGCTTAATTGCATACTCAATTCATCCAAAAGTTCATTGTCATTTTTTGAGTGAAATTTTATTATGCCTTTCCTTTTCTACTTCACAGTCCAGGGTCACTCAGCATGCTCAAGGAGAGAGAAATTTTCACATATTTTACCAGCTCTTGACAGGGGCTGATATCCAATTGCTCAGTAAGTATATTTCAAGCAAGAATCTTTCTCTCTGCATCACCATATATCATGGAACGTAAAATGGAAAAATTTGATAATTTTTTGTGGGATGAAAATTGAAGCGTTTGCTTGTAGAAGGCCGTATTATAAAATTGGTACTTTGTTTTGAAAATCAATTATACTACATCAGTGCATTTTTGGTAACACACAGTCATGCTTTTATTTTTATCTGATGCTCTTTTGCGGAAATAAAGGCCAAAATGTGCAAAACGGTTCTCTTTAAACTTCAAATGAGTTCTGTTCAAAATAGATATTTTCTTAAAGACGCCCTTCTACAAGCAAACTCCTTGATTTCTGTTCCCTCAAACAGCTCACCGCGATAGACAGCATTCTGCCGTATCGATTTACATACCTACGTTTTATGTAAAATTTTTGCTTTGTGTTCGATTCTTTAAAAAAAAAAAAATCTGTACTAGAACTGGATCTGATTGAATTACGGCCAAAAGGCAATGTAAAAACATGTAAAATTGAAATTAGTAAATTCAACTCAGATATTGAACAAAAAAATAAGCTTCTCCAGGGCGGATTCCAATTTTATTCTTGTGATAAAGGAGACAGGCACTCCAATACACAATAGCTTTCATTCCTAGCTTTCAGTTTTACATCTTAGTATTTATAAGGTTTACATTCCGTTTTGTCTGAATTACTTGGTTTTTGGAGGAATAAAGAACGCACCTGGTTTAAATAATAAAATTTAGTAATAATTCACTTATAAAACAACGCAATTATAGGAAAAAGAAACAAATGAAGGTATATAATCCTAAGGAATAATACAAATCATGAATTGATACACTTTCAATAATTTATTTGCAGTGTAAAATACTTATTTATCTCTGGTTATTTTTTTCAGAGCTTTTAAAAATTCAGAGAAATGTAGAGAGTTATTCTTTACTGCGGTGTAGTAAAAACTGTTTCACAGAATGCCATTTAGAACATATCAATGACAAATCAGATTTTCTCACCACCAAGGTAATATTCAAATTATTTCACAATTAAACATAAAATGTATGTTCTTTGCTAAAACTGGTGCTCATACTCACTGTAAAAAGTGCGGAGATCAAATGTGGATGTTTGAATTGTAACCAGAACTTTTTAGTATCAAATAAAAAACATTTTTTGAAGAAAAATTTCCTATACCTTTCTCTTTTAAAAGTCCAAAAGTGTATTTCACAATGTAAATGAGGTGCTGAAAAAGTCACATTTTGATGGCAGAAGTAAAAGAAACCCGTTCGTCAGATTGCAAGTCAAGTTGGAAGTCTCCTCTCATGTTTTAAAGGAAAATTAACCAATGCCTCTCCCGAAATTTTTGTGAGTTTTCTTCGCTCATATAAAAAAAAAATCCCTTAGCATTTCAAGGAAGCATTTTGACTAATTGTTTTTGAGGAAAATGAAACTTAATTGGAGATTTTTAAACATTGCAATTGAGGTAGAGATGCCGCCCAAGAGATGGGTACAGAGCTGCCTTTCATCCCCGGAGAATTAAGTGATCTCTCTCATCGCCATCATATTTTATTTATCATATTTATATTCTAATTTAGAGGCTAGACAAACATAACCAACACAACCACCAAAGATGGTCACGGCCCTAGTCAGAAGTTAGAAGAAGCAATTGAGGTACACATATTTCGCATTTAACCATCACTACCATGCTAAGGTAGAATGCTGTATGAGGCCTCAGGTGTCGCCACATTTCCTTTGACAAAAAAATTAAATTACTGAGAATCGACAACAATTTTCCTTGAAATTTAATCCAAAATATCTTGAAATTTCAAGGATAAATATGCATAACCTTCCTCAAAAATACATGTTTTGTCCAGAGATATTCCGCAATTCTCGAATGTTCATACAGTGTTCTTCCTTAGCATGGCAGATCAGTTTTCTGGCATACATGTCCTAGTTTAGGTTTGTATTAAAAAATATTTGCTTGTTATAAAATATCTCTAGTTTTTGCGTTTAAGAAACATAATTGACCTTGTCTCTTTTTTACAGAGGGCTATGGAAAATTTAGGTTTATCGTCGGAAGAAATTGTTAGTATTTTAAGGATAGTAGCTTCGGTGCTGAAACTTGGCAATCTTGTGTTCATTCCTAGTAATAGTATCGATGGAACTGAGACTTGTACAATAAGTAATGATTACGGTGAGTACTGCACTTCTTATATTTTGGAACTTCCTCTACCATGGCATAATTAAATTACTGAAGTTAATGGCTTTTCACTTTTGGCTTTTTTCGTAGTCTCTCTGTCATTTGCAGTAATACTTAAAGAGGCCTTTTAGTTTCATATCAACTTTTAAAATAATACTATACAAATGAAAATATTTTTTAAAGTTTAAGCACACGCTTATATCTCTTTTATTATTCTTACTATCTATTTATCTTACTTAACTAATGAGGGTCTTAAAATTTCACATTTCTCAGTTTCAACACTTTTCTTAAATTATGAAAACAGTTGGAATTCTCTAGCATTATAGTCAAAATGCAATGGAACCCATTTTAATACTTTTCCATTCCTGCTCCCACAAGTTATGAGTCCCTCTTCCTCATAATCGTCATCGATCTAATAGTTAATGGGAACACATCATAGGGGACTCTAAATCTTAGTCAATCCAGCAGCTAGCTTCTTTTTTGAAGGGGGGGGGGGAATTTCCATGATTCTGAAAGAGGTTTACTCTTCCGCCTCCTCCAACATGCTCAAAATTGAAGCTATACATTCCTCTTCCTCCTCTGCCAAAACACCTCCCAGTCCAATCAATACAGCCAGGATAGAGATCAGTGCGATAGTTTTACTGAGTTCCATTTTATTGGTGTCTTGCATGAACTGAAATTTTCAAAATTGAAAACAAATGTAAACCACTGATTGTGTGTGTATTTTAGAGGAGCTATTCATAAAATTGGTCATTTTGAATAAAAGTGGGCACTCATTTTCCAGAAAAGCCATTGACCAATCAAAAATTAGCTATCTACAAGTTGCTCTCTGGAACTTGGAACTGCAATCAAAAGGAAGTCAGAGGGTTTTATGGAAAAGATGAGAAATGTGAAAAATCTGGAAACTCACTCTGTAGAAAAGCATCAGCGCTGACCTCATATTCGAACTAAGTCTCCATCTACTTTGATACTCAATGCTTTGGAGAGGAATAATTTTAATAAGGGATTGCATTTTTGTTCAACTGAATGAGTAATACTTGAAGAAAGAAAGTTCACACGTGTTTGTGATTTGCAGGGAAATTAACTCCAAAAATGTTTCATTTTTAGTTCTACGCACATAAAATTGTCGATGTGAAAAGTCAGAGAGTTTCAATTATTTTGGTCAGGGTAAGTAAAATGTGGAAAAGTCAGGGAATTTCAATTATTATGGTGAGGGAAAAATTTTGAAAAGTCAGGGAACTTTCCCTGCCGATACTTTCGACCCTCTGAGCAGGAGAGTTTAAAATGGGAAAAAGTGCCCAGCAAAAACTAAAAAAAACTAAAAATTAAAAAAACTATAAACCCGTCTTACTGAAGAAGTTGAAGCATGTCGACCATGAAACGCCCAAACTATGTATATCCGTTTGCTAAAAAAAAAAATACGAGCGGAGATTTTAAACAGAGCAAATGAGATACCTAGTTTTGGAGTTTCACCATCAATGTTCCTTCTTACCTGGGACTGTGAAGTAAAGGAGGATTTCACCAGAGTGTTTACTGAAACAACTGCTCAATGCATTCTGTTCACTTGCTCTATTTATACTCGTTCATTAAATCCGTTTTTGAGTTTATCAATATGCACCAATGCAACAGTGGCCTTGCAAAACTTGTTTATACTGCATAGTTCCGGTCGCACAAGGTGTTATCACAGGCAGATTTTATTCTTTTTTCCATGTGTTTAATTCCCATTTTTGTGGGCCTAGTTGAACTAGTGCTTCCTGCTCATTAACATTGTTTCAAATTCTCAATGATTTTTCCGATCTTAAGAATGAGGAAAAAGTGACGACTCTAAGTTTTTCCCTATTTCAGCAAGTATAGGTAAGGGAAACTTCGATGGCCAAATAAGTATTGAACCTTATATCTCTATCTCGGTGTTTCAAAATATCTGCTTCTATTTTATTTTTTTGAAGAGAAACAAGCCAACTTCATTGCTTGAAATTTCGCAGAATATTCTGCTGATAGAGAAGAAAAATCAAAGAAGTTTTTCAAAAAATTACGTTCACTAGTTTTCTGAAGAAAAAATAAAGTAAGGAGGGTTGCAACATCGCAAATGGAGATACCTGGTTTTGCTCTTTGGATATCCATAGATTTTTGAGTCTTTCTGAAAAAATAACGGAGTTTAGGATAATAACCTGATGGAGCAAGTTCAAACCATTCATAAAATCCATAAAAAATCGGTTTACTTAATTCGAGTTGGAACCTTGCAGCAGGAAACTCGTTAAGGGCTCTCAGAGTCTACATTCCTTTTGATAAGGTTTTCAAAAAATGGAAAGTAAAAATTCAGATTGACGGCGAAAATTCCTAAAGTCAGATATACCCAAAGGACATCATGAGCGGAGCCCTTTAGATGATGTCATTAATGGCTGTTATCAGTATCCATTATCTATCACTGATAGCTGCCGCTTCAAAAATTCTATAACCACCCCCCCCCTCCCCCCAGGAGTTGAGAAAGATGTAAGCCCACACAAAAAAAAACCTAAACTTTTTTAGATGATTAACTTAAGGCAGAATTTAGCAAATGGATTGGGGACTAACTAGATTTTTGTCCCACTTAATGACTTTTTCTATCACTTTGCCGCCTCTCCTTTCAATTTTTCCCTCCTGTCATTGTGGATCATTTCAGGATTTCAAGGCTCCTTCCAATCTTTCTTGCTCTGTTTGAATTTCAGAATTACATGAAGTATGTGAATTACTGAATGCGGATTCAACGTTATTACAGACAGCTATTACATCGCGGTCTTATTCCGACGGCATTCAATTCATGCTTGCGGATCTTTGTGCCACAGAAGCCACGCACTCTAGAGACTCCCTTTGTAAAGCATTGTACAGTAGGCTTTTTACATTTTTAGTCAACCGAATAAATGATTTCTTAAAAGTAAGTATTCTGTTCTGTATTGTGATCCATTCCAGGCATGCTATTCATAATTAAAAATGTGGCCCCTCCAGAATAAGGACCTTTGCTGAAAAGTTGAAAATTGCTTCATTTAAACTTTTTCTTAGAGAAAAGTTTTACACACAAAATTTTGGCCATCGCTTCGACAAGAAAATTTTTCAAAATCGTTACACTCACCCGAAATTGCGACAGTAAAGTTTTAAAAAGCATAGCTTTGAGAATAAGCTAATTGAACTATTATTTCCCAATTTTTAAGGATTGATATCTTATGATGAAAATGCAACAGGACAAAAAACGCAAATCATGTGGTCCAAATACTGCAAGTGAGAAAATGGTAGAATAGAGCTAGGGTCACACTATTACAAAGGGAAATATTGCCAATGATTCCAAAAATCAGAGTTAGAGGTACGAGAAAGAACTGCACTGAATTTCAGTTCCAAGCTGGGAAAGAGTATAGTATGTTCTATCTTCAAAACTTATTGTGCTTAGGCTATCATAAAAAACATCATTAAAAATAAATAAAAAGCCAGGCCAAATCCTTTATAATGATCCAGTCAATTTCCCTCAGTAACAGTGCATTCTATGGACTACATTTTGCTTTAAGGAACCACTATTTCTGGCTCATTTTAGGAATAACATATGTGCAATTGGTTTCCCTATGCAGAAAGGTGCTTTTACGGAAGAGCCAGAGATAGCAGTTCCTTATCGCAAAATGTAATTCATATTTAAGAACAATGGTTGTGTAATGTACTGATTTTAAATTGAATTTTGGTCCATTTTATGTATAAGTTTTAAAAAACTTCGGCAATGCAAAGAATACCTGATCCAGCAATCCTTGGATCATTAATTTAAAGGCAAATTTTGGGTCATGAAGCGATTTTCCACAGTAATGAGCTTTTATCTTTTCATTTCTTTTTTCTCTGTACTTTAAGATCGTGGGTCAAATGGAACATTTTGTTGTGAGGTTGGGACTTTTACCAAAAAATTGGACATTTGTCTGAGAAAGGACTTGAAAATTTGTCCAAAGGCTAACACACTGTCTGGCCTCCAGACGCAAAACAATTTGCAATTTGGAAGTTTTGGTACTCCTGCGCTAGTTGTTTATCTTTATCTTGAGACTTTAATTCTATTTTTTTCTATTTTCTCTAGGTCAAACCCTGTGGGAAGCAAAAAGTACTGGGTGTACTGGACGTCTATGGGTTTGAAATCATGGAGCGAAACGGTTTTGAGCAATTCATCATTAATTTCTGCAATGAAAAGCTTCACCAAGTTGTAATGGACCAAACTCTGCGAGAAGAACAAGAAGAGTATATAAGAGAAGGCATTGATTGGGTTCCCGTACAATTTTTCAATAACTCCCCCATCTGTGATCTCATTGAAAAGGTGAGCAACATTTTCTTTTCTTTTTTCCCCCTTTTTAAGCACCCATCCGATAGGGAGTGCTTTTTGATTTCAACCTGCCTTTAGAATTCTAGTGTAATATGATGGAAAGGGGCCTAACACATTTGGAATAGATTAATCTGTGAAAACCGTATTTAATAGACTGTATTTGATAATGGTTCGATGTATCGTTTGGTTCAAAACAATAGAACATAACCTCAAACCAAACTAATAGGATTTAAGTTGGAAAACCTGAAAATGAGAAAATTCCTAACAATTTTACTTTGCATTGGCATTTGGTACTCAAAGGAATACAAAATCTGTTACAAAAGACCCGTTCCCTGAGATTTCTGAACAGACTTTTGAGGCTATGTTTATATTTTGAACCAATCGATATCGATACAATCTCACCCGTTTGATGTATCAAATACGATCTATGCTTCTGATGTCAAAGCATAGCGGGCAATAATCGTTTTTCTATAATTTATTATTTTAGCGGTAGTGTAGTTTTCTCAAAATTGATGGATCAAATTTTGATGGGCGTGTTCTTTCATCTCAATGGTGCTCATCTTCTTCAACGAACCTAAAAACGCGCCTACATAGAAAATACCTGAGTGCTTCTCTAATACAAACATGCTAGAGGTTTCCTTCTTGTTTTTCTCTTGCATCTGAACTAGGTCTTTTTACAAAGAACAGTTCTATAGGTCTGTCCTAAATATTTTTTTGGTGAAAAGAAAAATTGTTAATTCTGGAAAATGGCTTAAAAATCATGCTGAGTGCATTTTGAAAAATAAGTACGGCAGGAAGTCTGCAGCACCACAAATTTAGATACGCTTTTCTGCAGTTTTACAGGTGACATGTCATGTAGTGTATTTTACAGAATAATTAATAGATGGCAAAATATTAAAAATGGTGATCTCAATTGCAACGTCTAAAAATCTGCAATTATGTTTTATTTTCCTCAAGGAAAGCAAATCAAAATATTACCTTACAATTTCGTCTAATTTATTCAGGATAAACAAAGAAAATCCACCATAAATTTCAATAGAAACTGTTGGTTAGTTTTCCCTTAAATGATGAAACATGAAAGCAGATTTACAATGCTGTAATTTAAAATACGCATTCTTCCAATTCAGCCCTGGATATACTGAAACGGTTTTACTTCTCAGCCATTTAACACTTGATGTTCATTTTAGTATTTTTTTTAATTAATCGCATTTATTTTCATGGTTGAATTTGTGCAGAACAATTATGGTTTATTATCTTTGCTGGACGAAGAATGTGGTAAACCTGAAAGCCTTATCAGTGACGAGCAATTTCTGGCCAAAATTGTTGCCTTATCCACCTCCTCAAATCATTGTCACACGACACCAGAACGCAGATGTCGCAGCTATATTACAACATCTGCATCTTCGGATAATAATATGCCTTCCAATTGTTTTCGGTGAGTGGACAATTTTTGAGTCGTTTCCTAGAGTGAAATCTTTCCTCTCTTTATGTCAGATGATAATCAATATTTTACTTAATTTTTTTTTTTAAAACCAAAGTGACAGCTTGAGTTTTTAGTTCTCTGTTATAAAATAAAAATGAGGAAAAATTAGTAGAGCTGTGCAATTAATCAAACATGACTTGTAATCGCGATTAATTTTTTTAATCGCAATCGTAACCAAATTGAAAAATTAATCATTATTGAGTCGATTAATTTGACTTCATGACATTTTGAATTTCCCTCCGCGTTCCTTCAAATTTACGTCACTTGCGCGCTGCTAGCCTCGAGCAAAAAATAATTGCAACAAATATAGTCACAATCTCTTGGACATATCCGCCAGCAAAGAGGGTGTTCCATGTTACTTTTGATGTAAAATGCTGGCATTACATCAAATTAAATAAAACATAATAATAAGTTGTCTGCCGGTGGACCGACATACCCTTTTGCAAATCTTACGAGACCAGCATTATTAACTTTCTACCTCGTGCTACGTGTTTGTTCTCTCTTCTCTCAGAGTCAAAAAGCTGGAAAAGGTCTAGATTACTTTGGGCAGAAAGGATCTTTTAGAAGGAAAGACAACGAGTCAACCTTAGGAAAATGAAGGAAAAAAAAATTTAAGGAAAATTATGAGCTTTTGCAGCCGTATGAAAAATTCTTCAAGAATTCACGTTCTGTAACTTCGTATTTGGTCATAGAGACTTAAAAAATGAAGATGACCAAAATTTGATCATTTTTTTACCTTTTACCCAATTTTAATCGTAATCAAGATCGGAATCGCGATTAATTTCGTTAATCGTAATCAAATGAAAAAATTCTTAATCGCTCAGCTCTAAAAATTAGGTCACGTGAAATGTAGTCAGGCAAATTTTGATCAATTTCTTCAATCAAGAGTTACAATGGTTTTCAGGAAATTTATTCTACGGTAAATGTCTTTGAATGTTCTGGAAAAATTTGCCCAAAAGCATAGAAACATTTATTAAGTCCTTGAATCTTCAGCCGGAAAACTTTTGAAAACTGCCTACAAGTTCCTGAAAAGTCATTAAATTTGTCATTTTGTCTCAGCTGCATGAACCGGTTTACTAGTACCTAATTTTCCTTTCAGCTCATTCTTTAAAGTTAATTGAAAATTTTATTTTTATTCCTTTGACACTCGCAACTCACTTTTTTCTCTTCTTCCAGGCTTCGTCACTATGCTGGGACAGTCATGTACGATGTTTCGGGATTTGTAGAAAAAAATAATGACTCTTTACACAGAGATCTTTCCCTTGTGATGTATAAATGCCAACATCCTTTGCTCAAACTTCTTTTTCCTGAAGGTACGTTGCTTCAAGTTCTACTGTTGTTACTTCACTGGTTTTTTAACTTTCCTTGTTGTGGTGATAGTAGCGTTTGTTCTATAACAATCTTTGGTAAAAATTGAAAAAAAGCAGATAAACAGTAAATACTTTGGTAGTTATTTCTTTATTTCAGTGAAAAATTCATTTCTAAAAGATACTCTACCCCGTAGTTCATACGTAGAATGCATTATCTTTGGTAACTCACGGTTCCTGAGGCCTTGAAAAGTGCATGATTTTGAGTTTTTTCCAAGAATTAAGGCCTTGATAGTGCATGATTTTTTTGGAAAGCGCTTGAATTCCATTCTTAATCAGTCGTCAGCGATACACGCTCGTTGTATGTACAGTGCTGGTAATGATGAAAAGAGAGAAGGAAAAATAACAAGACAAAATTCTTGTAATCAGAAACCTCTGTACAGGGAAAAACCCGTGTGCTGAGAGAAAAATTAGATCTAGAAAATTCTTCCTAAAGTGCTCGAAAAGTGGTTGATTTTTTATTCATTAGGCTGCAGGAACCATGTAACTTAGACTTACCAATAATGCAAAGGAAAAAGTTAACTAATAAAAATAATTAATGTTTTTAACTTTAGAATTTAATGTCGAGCAACCTAAATTGACAAATCTAATCTAAAATTACTTTCTATTATGCTTTTCACTTCAGCTATATTGTCCCTCAGTCAACAATTTATTCAACAAACATGCTATATTGCATCTTATGTGGCAAACTTATTTATTTATTCCCTCTGGAATGTATAATGGTTTTATACCTTTCCCTCCATCATTCAGGTAACCCTAAAAGGACTCAGCTAAAGCGTCCTGCAACGATCGCAACGCAGTTCCGAGTTTCACTAAATAGCCTGGTGCACAATCTATCGAGCAAGCAAGCGTATTACGTCCGTTGTATTAAACCCAACAACCACAAGAGACCGAGATGTTTCGACTCTTCACTGGTGCAACACCAAGTCCGATACCTAGGGTAAGATGGGCTTGTCTTTGTCTCCTTTTATTTGTGGGTATGCAAATCACATTTACTTTCTTGAATAGTTGATCTCAATCAAGTGCCACAGTCTTTTCAATGGTATACCAGTCATATTGATCCATGAAATAACGGAGAAAAAAAATCATACTTCATAAAAAAATTAATTAAAATTCAAGAAAAATTTGAACGTTTTATTGATAAGCCAGGTAGTGTTAAATGGGTCTGTAATCAAATGGTAGAAGATTAGCTGCTCTTGGCACATGTCTGTCCATCATGAAGCGCACAAGCTCAGTGGTTTGCGGCTGATTGCAATGACAGTTTCGTGGAAACAAATGGCAATTTTTATGCTTAAACTTAGGACAAATAACCTGTCAGCAAGGATTATTAGAATCACATAAACTAGAAACCTGATTAAGACGTTTTTACGATTCTAATCTCTTTTTTTTTCATTTTGTCTTTATGATACATATTTTCAGGTTATTGGAGACGGTCAAAGTTCGAAGGTCTGGTTTCTGTTATCGGCTCCCGTATCTCCAGTTCCTGGAGCGCTACAAAATGCTTTGCCTTGACACTTGGCCTAACTTCTCTGGACCTGTAGTTGAAGGAGTCAATTACATCCTTCGAGATCTTCCAATCCCTAATGGAGAATTTGCTTTCGGCCAAAACAAAATATTCGTCCGGAGCCCTAGATCTGTAAGTAAATTATTAGAGTCTAACTCGTGCAATCGAAGATTATTTTCAAACTCTGGATTTTATGCCAGTGAACAACCATCCTTGCGTATTAGTCTAGGGAATCATTTCAATGGCAAAAGTGGGGAACCATGTTTCAGTGTTTACAACATTGCAGACTTCTTGTTATACTTTCTTTTTTTCTAAAAAACTAGTCAACTTAATTTTATGATAACTTCTTTGATTTTTCTTCTTTATTAGCAGCATATTTTGTATAAATTTTAAGCTATACAAATGACTTGTTTCTCTTTGAAAAAATAGAATAGGAGTGGAGATTTCGAAACACTGCAATGGAGGGACAAGGTTCTGCACTTTAGCCATCGATTTACTAATAAAAGAAACAAAAATGTAATGAAGACAAACTGAAAAGAAACCAAACAGAACTTTCTGCGCAGAGAATATCTCAATCGATGTGTCAACCAATCCCTACACATGTTTTATAACAAACTTGTACAACCAAGTTCAGCTTTTTCTGCTGTATTTTAAAGAAAGGCTTCAGTGGTACCGTTTTGAAATAATGGAGAAGGAATGTCACAACCTGAGGTTTAATCTTTCAGGTTTTTGAATTAGAGGAGTTTAGGAGGCAACGCTTGGAAGAATTAGCGATCCTTGTTCAAAAAGTTTGGCGTGGTTACCATCAAAGGAGAAATTTTCTCTGCATGAAAAGGAGCCAAATTATAATCGCCTCTGCGTGGAAAAGTTGGCGGGTAAGTAAAAAATATTTGAAATTCGCTTTTTCTAATGTGGTCTCTTTTAATGAGTAAATTCAATATTTGTTCCTGTTTTTGCCTGTTTGTCACCATTCCGGCTCTGTTAGGATCTCTCTTCTACTTGTGGATAAAAGCAAAATGCCTCACATATTATTAACAAACTTTCAGTCTAGATTTTTCAATACTGAATAAATTAAACTTAGTTGGTAGTTCTAATCTTCACAGCCTGAGCTCAAGCATGATGCCAGTCTGAAGTTTGTTCCGCATGCCGAGGTTATATAAAAAATCAAAGTTTCCGGAGGTTATGACTGATCCAATGTTAACTGATCACTATGATGGCACTTATAAAAAAAAATTCGATTGATTTTTTACTGTGCATGTTCCGTTTTTCACTTTTTTTGAATCTTACTCAATCTCCATTTGTGGTTTTTCTTCTTTTCATTCTTCTTCTTTCTCTATCGCTTCGTCTATCAATTTCAATTATCAGCCAGCAGACTTAGTCATTTGCTGAAAATGTCAACCCTTTTCGCAAAATGAAAAGAATTTTCCAAAATTTTTATGTGTTCTACACCCAGCTTTAAAATTTAGCAAACACCGAGGCTTGTCATCCACGATTTTACTACAACTCTTAAAGTTTTTTCAAAGGAATTGCATTGGGTTCTTTATGTTTTAATGAGATGTTTAATTTTAAACTGAGGTTGAATGAACTTTACTCTCTGTGTATCGGATTTTTAGAGGTTCCCTCTAACAAAAGTTAAATAAATGTTGCATGTTGCATGACAGGAATGTCGATATGGTGTGAGCTATGAAGGTAGAAGACATCTTTGGTGTTTGTACAGAGTCGTAAGTATATTTTCTCTTTTTCGGTAGCATGTCTAGCTTTAACTTTAATTTTTTATGTTAGTTACTTTTGATTGAAAGTTTGAGGAAGGTCCAGTGGTTTGTTTACATCAGGTGTCTTTTGTAAAATTCATAAAAACCAAGTATGAGCGCCAAAAATGGCGTCTCAGAAGTAGACACAGTGACGATTTCTGCCGCATTTTTTCTTGTAAAAGTTTACGCTCCATTATTTTTGAGTCAAAAATCTTAGTGGCTCCTACAATTTTGAGGTAGTGTTATGTCTTCTTGTTTTTTTCCGAAAACTTAACTTTTAGGATAGTGATCTCAAAGTTTTCTTTATTTTACCTTTTTCCCCCTTAATTTCGTAATGGGGAGCAAATATTTAAGCTGAAGTGTGCCTTTTTATCTTCTTGAACAGGTCTTTTGCTCCTTTAATTTTCATCTGTCATTGAAGATAGTGACTATCTGATGTAGACTTCCTTGTCAGTTTTATTTTCTAGAAAAAAGAGTTCCACAAACAAAACATCTCTAACTTCACTCTGCACTTTAGTCAGTATTTAGTTGAGTGAGCCAGTACAAATTCTGTTCTTCTTCTCACATGAAAGTATCAGGTGTAAATTGAAGGGTAAATAAACTGAATGAAAAGAAGTGACCTCCAAAGTCGTTGAACGGGCTTGTTGCAAACTTTTGCTAGAGCCAAAATAAGATTTGTTACTCATAGAAAATGTCTCAAAAATCACGATGAGCACATCGGCAAAGTTTGAAATGCACTTCTTACTTCACAATTTGCATAAGAAATTTGCGTTTTTTCGAGCTTCCTGCTTCAAAAACGATACCACGGCACAGGTGAGCATTTCGTTATAGGAGTCATTCCATCCAACCCCTGCTCACAAGGATACTACGCAATATTCAACATAGCGGACACCAATCCGCCAAAACACATGTGACATCCTTTTCGAAGTGGGAATCTTCAAAAAACGCAAATTTCTAACACAGATTGTGAAGTTGGGAGTGCATTTCAGAGTTTGCCAATGTGCTTATCGTGATCTTTGACTCATTATCTACAAGGAACAACTCTTATTTTTGCTCTAGCAAAAGTTTGGAACAGGCCCATTTGTCTAACTTTTGTAAGAGTAAAACCGTCAAGAAGAAAAATAAAAGCATGAATTATGAATAGGTAAAAAGTGACGTTCTAACTTTCCACACCAAGAGAAAAACAACAATAATTCTTCCCAAGTTACAATGCTAAAGGTTCATACTTCAACGGAAAATCTAATTTTATCATGTTATCTGACTGCTTTTAAATATCTGTAATTTATTTCATGATATGGAAACCTCTGCCTAGGTTAGTGTACTGCAAATATGCCATTACTAATGTAATGAATTTTCTCATCTGTATTCTTGTATTTTTCAGGCCAAAGAGGAGTATAGAATCATGAAAAAGCGAAAACAAATGGAATGGGCTGTTAATGTTATTCAAAGACACTATATTCGATGGAAAGTAAGTATTTAATCAGTCTTTCCGTACAAAGAGGCATTTTGGAAAAAGGCTTATTTCAAAAATGGCTACTCAGTTCCTTTCTTTTAAACTAGATCCACATCAATGGCCAAAATGTGAAACCACAATCCTGCCTTTGCGACGTTGCAGACTTCTTGTTATTCTCTATCTTTTCTCTTGGAAACTAGTTAATAGAATTTTTTTCAAAACTTCCTTGATTTTTCTTCTCTCTTACAAGGGAAACTTCTCAAACTGCTGCCTCCGATCGAGCTGAAAAAAATCTTACGAACTCTTTGGATGAATCCATCAAGACTCTGTTTTTTTGTTCTTTCCAATAGGCTTTGGAACCCCCAAAAAATTCCGAGAAGTCCGGTTTTGAGCGCTCGTAGACAGTGCGCACGGGACACCCAATGTGTGCCGGGAGGGCTGGGAGAGACGAAGAAGTGTTACCTCTCCTCGCCCAGCCCTACGGCGCACACTGGGTGTCTACAAGCGCTCAAAACTGGACTTTTGGGGGTGTTTCCAGGGCCTATTGGAAAGAACAAAAAAACACGGTCCCAATGGATTCATCCAATGAGTTCGTACAAATTTTCTCAGCCCAATTGGAGGCGGCAGCTTGGGAAGTTACCCTTGTTAGCAGATTATTATGTACATAAAGTTTAAAACGTTAAGTCGGCTTGTTCCTCCTCAAAAATTAAAATGGGAGCGGAAATTTTGAAATACTGCAATAGGTATGGCAGTGCGCACCGTGGTGAGGTACATGGTTTTGCACTTTGGCCATTGTTGTTCCTTTTTAGCTTTTGGTCCTTCTTTTATTTGTCACAAACCTTAACTTCCTTTGTTTTGCACTCAGTCTCTCAAATTCACTTACAATTTGAGGCAGATTGAGACATAAAAATTAAACATTCTTCGTCCGCATTGCTGCATCTATGATGCTCCTTGTTAAAATTTCAGTATTTAAGGCATGTCAAATCCACTATCAAGAGGATACTAGAACATTATTATAGGTTATTACTTAATTTTAATTTTCTCATCCGAATTTTTATCTTGATTATTTCCAGAGGCTTCAATTTCTTCTACAGCTGTCGAGTGAATTACCAGCTGATAGCGATTCACCAATCAGTCACGACTGGCCACCATGTCACCGGCGACTTGCAGACACTAGTTTATTATTAAGACGGTTGCATCACAAATGGCGAGTGCGTAAATTTCTGTCAAGTTTAAACCCTCTTTGCTAAAAAATCTCAACTGTTGTGGGGATTTTCTGAACGAAGATAAATTGATCAAGAAAGTTTTATCTGCAAACTGGAGTGAAAGAATAGACTTTTGTTTTAACATTTAAGACCAGATCTGTGAAAAGGGATCTTATCTTGTTGAAATCTAAATTTGAGTCATTGGCAAAATCCGAACCTAGTAAGTTCACGCACTTTCAGACTGAGACAGAAGAGCCACCAACTCGATCATCCACTTTTAATGCTGAAGTGACGTTAGATGATTTTCTATCACAGTTTAACAGTGTGTAAACTTCTTTGATATGGACTCTACCAGCGTAGAATAAGTAAATCTGGATAGTTTGGGGCATCTTTGACTCTGGAAGCTCAAAAATTGAGGGAGATATGATGTTCTGAAGTTCTGAGTCAAAAGTTCTCAAGTTTCAGTCTAATTTTTTGGTTGAAGTTTTAGATTAAAATTTCTGACATGCACACAGGAAAACATTCGCTAGCATCTTCTGAGGTAAGCGAATTTAACTAAAACCAGGCTTAGCTTGTTCCAAAGGCTTCTTGAGAGCATTTCTCGTTGATAACTCGAAATCGCTAATTTTGAATTTTTCCCCGTATTTGGGTCTCTTGGAAAGAAGGTTCCTTTTCACAAATCTGGTCAAATTTCAGTATTCCTGTTTGATTACCATTTTTTGCAAAATTTACTAGCACACAGTAACGGCGAACGATTCTTTGTTGAAGTTTACCTCTAATAATCTTTGAAGACTTTTTTTTCAATTTAGTGTTAGAAATAAGTAATTTTATCAACTTCAAAAATTATCTCAATTCTTGCTTAATTTTTCTTTGGATTTCGTAAAAGTATTTAAATTCTTGTTTTTTCTTTCTCTTTGTTTTTTCAGTGCCACAAATATAGGTTGCGTTTTGATCAAACTGCAAGAAATCGCATGAGAGAAAAGGTCACTGCTAGTATTATATTTAAGGAGAGAAAAGCCTCCTATCCCCGAAGGTAAACATTTTTTAGATAAAAATTATTTTTTGTAAATAATATTATTGAGTGAATAATCGGCTCCTCTTGAGAAATAATGGTGCTCCAAAATCTTTGTAAGTTAATATTTTGGAAGTAATCAGATGAGGCCATATATAGATACAAGTTCAGAGAATAATCAAAACTGCTTTTCGACAAAAAAACTTGAAAAAAACAAGTACCTGTTTTTCTTGAACGAATCGACATTTTAGCATAAAATTTTAGAAGAACATTTGAGGACCTCTCTGACCAAACAGCATAATGTTGACATGGGTATATACTGTTCGGTCAGAAAGGTCCTCATTCTTAAAAAGTCATGAAAACTTTAGGTATGAATAATTTTTAATTTTGCCGCATTAAAATGAAACGAGAGAAAATTTTGCAAATTGCAGACTGAGGCACCTAATTTTTTATTTTCATCATGGACACTTTTTAACTACTCAAGAATTGAAAAGTTATAACAATTCTGGAAAGGAAACATGATGCATATAAATGAATCCTTTTCTTTCTTTTTCTATTAAAACTCTCATGAATAACCTTATCATATGGAAATTATGTAAAAATTAAGAAGAGAAAAGTTCACCAAGTAGACGACCGTTTAAAGTGTTTCCTAGATTAGTGTTTATATCAATTCTTGATAAATTAATTCTTCAATTTTTAATTTTTCTCATAGTGTGGGCCATCCTTTTCATGGTGATTATGTCCGGTTGCGGCAAAACGTTCAGTGGAAAAAAATCAGCGTTGAGAGCAACGACCAATATGTTGTCTTCGCTGATATCATAAATAAGATAGCTCGCTCAAGTGGCAAAGTAGGTATCAACTGGTTTCCTTTTATTTTCACTAAGTGAAAATCAAATGTTCAACAATGAGATAATTTTATCATTCTCAGTCTGATCTCGCAAATCTCTGGTACCTCAAATTTTGCATTTTTTGGTTTTATTCTCGTATGTTTCTGGAAGGAATTTTATGATTCAAAATTCGAAATCATACCAAATTGTCAGCCAACTCATAAAGTGCTTAAAACTATCAATGTTTTAATTTTGCATCATAATTACTTAAACCACTCATTTTTATGAGGGAATAAGTTAAACAAATCGGATTTTAACTGAAGCATAATTCCTCTGTGTGAAGGCTGGAGCATAGGCTGACAAAAGACTGGATGCGTTTTCCAAAAAAAAAAAAGTCTTCTAGGGGTGACGCAAATATCAGTCATTCCTGAAAAGACTCATGTCCATGAAATTATTAACAACTTTAATGCTCAATTAACTTTCTAATAATATAATGCATTTTCTTCCAACAGTTAAATGTCTCTTTACTGTAAAATCGGTAATATTGTAATCGGTGCTTGTCCTTGATTCAAAATGGCAATAACAGGCTGTTCAAGTATTAACCCATTGACTTACAATGACGGCTCCCAGCCGTCATCGCAGCGCTGGGCCAGCTCTGCAATGACGGCTCAGAGCCGTCCGCTGATGGTTCGCGTTATTTCGGCAATTTTCCGGTAGATTGCGTTCTCATCAATGTTTATATGAGTAGTGTGGCCACCCTATGACTTATTGTGTACGGTAATTTCTTGTTTTGTTGCGATATTTTCGTATTACTGTGCGTTTGCACATGAAATAACCTCAAAATTTTCTGATTTTCGCTGATCTTGCGATTTTTGCGATTTTGACAGCTATAAACCACATAAAAAAATCATTGTGTTCAAAGTTTTCACCATTTTTCTCAAACGTTGTATTGTGAATGCTTATTTTGTCAATTTTCACCCTTTGAGAAATAATTTCTGGATTATTTTGAAGTGTTCAAAGTTGCTGATTTTCGCCAAATTAAATCGTAATTCCTGGCCCGGCAGGGTCAAATTAAATCATAAGTCAATGGGTTAAGTAAGCTACTTAAAGGGGAGGTTCTTAGCCTGTCTAACAAGGGGGAGGGAAGGGTCAAGCTAAGTCTTTGTAAGCTTCCTCTTTGAAAACAAATATTCACCGATAAAAGTAATTTTTCAATCTTTTTTTGAGCTTTTTCTATCATCTGAAAAATGGAGGAGGTCAGATTTGTCGAATATAATTCAAAATGAGGAGATAAGAAGTTGTCTGACCGGTATTTTACAGGGGAGGGGGGTCAGAATGTAGGTACAAATGTCTTCTTTAATACTTGAACCGTCCTTAAGTACATTTTTATTTCTAAATCGGGAAGAAAATTTTCCATTCCATGTACCATCTTTCTCTTGAAGTTGGTTAGCTTAATTCTGAGAAACTCATTTAAAGAACCTGCTATATGTCCTCTTTTGCACTCTGCCCAGGAGTTCTAAAAATAAACTTTGGAATTTTATTTTTGGTGTCAGACTTCCATGATAATTCTTTTATCGATCCGTTTTTCCAGTTTGTACCAATACTCTTTGTGCTGTCGACTAGTTCAGTTCTAATATTGGACAAAAGAACTCTCCAGGTCAAATATCGCGTGCCCGCCACAGAAATTTATCGTCTTTCGCTGTCCCCGTTTCTAGATGACGTAGCTGTTTTTCACATTCGAGCGGTATGATATGTTCACTTCATGCTCTTTTTTTAAAAGAATTTCTACTGATGCCAACCTCTCTCAATTAAAAAAAAAAAAAAAATATTACAACCTAAGACCCTTGCCCTTGGGCCCTTACAACATTGAAATTGAAAATTTAATCCAAAGTTCATGGTACAATGGCTCCTTGAGAAGAGTCTGACACAAATAGTCGCAATAAGTGAATGAACGTTTTAAACAAAATCAGTCTAACTACATTAGACGTAGCCTAATTTCATTCTCATGTTTTATTTTTATACAAGGAGGCTAACCTACATTCTACCTTGAAATTTTGTGAGTATACCATGTAAACTCTTGGGAAAATTTAAGAAATTTTTTGAAATGTTATGTTCGTTACTTTTCCTGTATGAAAATAAACCAAGGGAGGAATTTTGGCAATGTAAAATGCAGTTTGGCTATTTTTGTTGTGCTTCCTATAATCTCTGATGAGTTGCAGAGTTGCCTCCGATAAAATTTTTATTTTTGAAAAGAGTTATGAATATTTTTTTTCAAAATTTCCATGTAATTTAGATCTGATTGCGAATAAAATTCTCTGAAAAAGTCTAAGGAAATTATTCCCAAATTTTCTTGAAATTTCGTATCTTATTAGAAAAAATTTGGCAACATCTGAAGTTTCATAGAGCGTTCTTCCTTAGCAAGGCAGAATTCTGGCCAGATGCGTCTGTATAATCTTTGAAAAGACAAGTGTAAAAATACAAATAATCAGGACAGAGAATTTTTTTAGTTTATTGTGACTTCATTTTAAAGTAAATGTCAAGAGTCAAGATTACTGCACAATATGTTTTTGAAATATTGAAAAGCCAACTCACTCCAACTTAATTAATCTGGGTATACTTTAAGTGCTGAAGTAACTTTCTTGTCTGGATGTTTTTCACCCTCAAGTCGGCAAAATTTTAAAAAACTTGGATACAAAAAATCCAGCATACGAAAGTAGTTACATTTTCAATTTCACTTTAATACTTGTTTGAATCTTTATGCCTGACACTTTCCTCATAATCCACTTTCAGTGGATGTGCTAGTTGTTTTGAGTTTTTCACCTCCATCCCTCTGAAATCTCCTCGTATTTTTTAGATAAAGCACTTTTCTTTCACCTAATCGCTGAAATTTTCCAGAGAATATTTAATTTATTTCCTTATGTATTACTCACGTATTTTCCCGTAGTAAAAGATATATTTAGAATAGTTTTTTGCACCTCTTCTCATACAAAATAATGAATTTTCTAAAGCAGTACTTGCAGTTGCTTTAAACATAAGTGAATTTCTTTCCCCTTATCTACATATTCTAAATTTTGTAGTCGAAGTATCTCAAGAAAAGAAAGAACTGAAAAGCCCTCTTCTATGGTCTTTCGTAAACAAGCAAAATTAGTGAGATCTGTCTAAGATAGTTACAATATATCATAGAGACCTTGCACTCTGAGTCGAAGCTTTGTAATCAGGTTAGGCAAAAGTTAAATTCAGAGATTATTGCTATTTTTCGCCAATTGATAATTGGTGAACAACTTGTTGAGCAATTTACTGGCGTAACGATGAGTGATGAATTTTGGATAGGGCAGTTGGAGAGGCAAGTTTTTGGGAACTAGGTAAGGTTTGCTTAATCAGTCTGTCAACTCTTGGGGTACCAGTCATCATTAAGTGAATCCAAGCGTTCCAATCCAAGGTTTCCGTATCTAAATGAAATAAGTACAGATACATTGAAAAAAAGCATCGACTTTGAAAATCAATATGAAAGTTCGGAAAAAGTACCAATTTTTAATGAAAAGGCAGGGAAATTGAAGGTTTTTGCGATTCACTTTACGAAAGAGCCGTGAAAGTGAGCAATTTTTATACATGGTTAATTTCATCACCTTCTCGCGAAATGTTAGCTAGATCTGCATAATTTAGTTCATTCCTCCATAACTTATCAAATTCGATTTTCTGTAACCTTTGCAATAAATTGTCAAAATCAGAGTTAAAAATGCCTATCAGGTAAGAACAAGGCAATAAAAATGCAAGGATTTTAGGATACCTCTGCAGGATGTCTACAGGTCCCCAAAAGTCCCCAATGTCCTCGATTATCCCCAAATTTGGAAGAGTGTCCTCGATATCCCCAAAAGTCCCCAATGTCCTCGTTCAGGTCCCCAAAAAATGACAAAAATCGCCCTAAACACTGGCATTTTCAAATTTTCAGCGGCGTGGTGTAACCAGGAATAAAAAAACTGAAGCGTTGCTCAGTTTTTTGTATGTTTTTATCGATTCAACAAGACTTGTAAAATTAGTCGTATAAAATACGCCTTTTAACCCTCTGACTAGCTCCCTTTCTCTTATTATTTCAGGAAAAAAGTCCCCGAATTTCTTGAAAAATCATTCCTTAAAGTCCCCGAAAGTCCCCAATTTTGGTTTTTTATAACTGGGAGACACCCTGATTCTAGGTGATGATGACGTACCTGTAAACACCCTGTTATTTCACAGTTTTTCTCACCCTGTTCAATCATAGCTTTTGACCTGTAGTTTTGAATCACGGCACCGTATGTTATGTCTGTCCTGTAGACGAGCCCCTGTAGTGATGAGTGTAGTGAAATGACGATCCCGCTCAGCTCATCGCCACCCGGTTGTCTCTTCCAGAGTGAACTCGGAAAGAAGAAAGGTGACTTCGTTTTCCAAACAGGACATGTCATCGAGATTGTCACCAAACTCTTTCTTGTCATTCAAAATGCAGTCGGCAAGCCACCGGAAGTGAACATCACCACTGAGTAAGATTTTTAATCAACTTGATTTCTGTAAGAATAGTAACCTACGGGTGTGAAGTATGGCCGATGAAACAGCGGACCCGGAAGGTTTTAGAGGCAACAGAGATGGACTTCTGGCGTAGATCCGCTGGTATTTCCAGAAAGGATCGCGTCAGGAATGAGACGGAACGGGAGATCATGGATGCCAAGCAGACCATCGTGCATGACATTATGACAAAACAACTCATTTGGTATGGTCATGTCCAGAGAATGGCAGGAGACAGGTTGCTGAAGAAGGTCCTTGACTGGGTTCCTCCTGGGAGAAGACGCAGAGGGCGCCCAATGAAAGGTTGGAGGGAAGGGATTGAAGCGGAAATGTTAAGGTGCTCAATCCCCCAAGATTTGTGGTTTGAAAGAGAGCAGTGGAGGTTAGGAGTCGTAAAGCGCGAGGGAGTGCTGTAAAGCGACTTATTTGTATGTTTCTGTAAGAACCGCATTCATTTCCTTTTTTGCTGGTCTGGAATTTTACGGGCACGAATTCAATGCTTTTCAACCTGTTTCTAGGCCCCGAAAAAATCAAGAATATCTGGGATTCATCGGGAATGAAAAATTTCAGGGGAAATCAGGGAAGCTGTATTAGAAACCGGGAATCTCCTCTTTCACCGCTGAGTGTTAATGTTATTGCACTTGAGCCAGTATCATTGCCATCTTAAATAACATATTTGAATCTCCAAATCATCAGAATAATGGAGAAGCTTTCATTGACAAGACAATATAGATTAATATCAGGAGCACTTTTGAGATTAATAATTTGAACGTGTGCTAAAGTATCGGCTGAAAAATGTACAGTTTTACTCAAGAAAATTTGAGGAGGTAGGAAAAACTTCCGTTTCTTATCAGAGAATGAGCCAAAAATCAGTTAATGAGAGCACTGAAGAATTTTAGACACTTTGATTTAAACAACATGAACGTTCGTTGCTTGGAACATGGTCGCATTTAATGTTAGAATTTTGGACATTTTGAAGTAAGAAGCCTGTGCAACAGTTGTAGACCTAACTGTCCCCAAAGAATCCAATAAAAATATTTTTAAGCCTTAATTTTTAAGGCACCACTCAACAACGTACTCTTAACTCCCATTTGCAGTTCCCAATTTCTGTATTTGAACTTCGCACTAAATGAAAATTTTCCCACTGTGAGTCAATTTTCGTGTTCCTTTTCGTGTGTGTTCATTGTGTTGTGTGTTTTATTTTTAACACAGATTCGAAGCAAATTTTGGTCAGCAAACGGTAATGGTGACCTTCAAATGTATTGGACTACCAGAGGTGCAACCTGGACAAATAAGGATCTTGCGGAAACGGAATAAATTGGAAGTGCTTGTATGATTATCAGTCATCTTCTTATCCACCTTCGAATAGCTCTTCTTTCTTGGTTAGTAATCACTGTAAATTCATTGCTTGGCTGACGAAAGGGCATAACTAGACATTGAGATGAGCCTTCTGGGCTGACTTTGATAGACAAAGAGGAAAAAGAAAATGAAGTAATCTGATTGGTTGGAATGGGTGGTTCTGTGTACTGAGGAAGAAAATCATGGATTTGCCATTGGGTCTCTTGTGGGTAGTTGTTAGCTAGTCTATTACTTATCTCCTTTGTCCGTTAGTTACTACAGTTTCCCTTGTTACTCTTTGTCTATCACTTCATCCATCAATTTCCATAATCAGCCTGCAGAAAGGCTTAAAGTTGTATGGACAACAGGGTTCATTGCAGAATGAGGGTATGCCCTTTAGTGAGGAGGGTGACGAATTGGAAAGTTTTATACCTCCGTAAAATATTCAAAGGCAGCCTTACTTGTTTCGAAAAAAAAAAAAAACATTTTGGAATAAATTGAAAGGTCACAGCAAAGTTCCATTTTTACACCATTGCAATTCATTGCAACATGTTCAACACCTGATTTTCAATTTTATCTAATTAAGTAGCAGTGTTAAGGCGCTTTGTGGATTGCTTAAATTCAAAATAAATAGTTCATTTTTTAGTCGTGCGGCGAAGCCGTATAGACTCTAGGTTTCGCCGGAGGCTAAAAAGTGTCCACACTTTTAGGCTAAGTCCAAGAGGAGAATTTTCGAGGAACCAAGTAACATATAAGGTATTGATATCGGTGCATTTTGGCCCAATGGAGATGTTACATGTGCGAGGAATTTGCAATTTAACTGTTGATTCTTGTATAAAAGTTCGCGAGGAACACAATGGTGCCACTGGTTTTCTCTGAAATCATCTCCCAAGCTCAAAAAAAGCTCTCAAGTTGAGGCCAAAATGGAGGGGATATCCCACCTTACCCTGAGAGTCCACGTCTACATGAAGACAAACTCTCCATGCAAAGATAGGGAGCAAATACATTAGCAGGGTTGCCGTGTTTTCAGTTTTGGAGTCCCCAGATAAATTGGTAGCCCTGTCAATGTATTAGCTCCCTATCTTTGCATGGAGAGTTGGTCTTGATCTAGACTTGGACTCTCAGGGTAGGGTGGGATATTCCCTTCATTTTGGCCTCAACTTGAGTGCTTTTTTTTGAGCTTGGGAGATGATTTCAGAGAAAACCAGTGGCACCATCGTGTTTCTCGTGACCTTTTACCCAAGATTCAACAGTCAAATCGCAAATTCCTCACACATGCAACATCTCCATTATGCCAAATGGAATTTCTGATCATTTAGCCATGGTTTGGTAGCGTTTAGCAATCAACTGTGACCATATGTAAAGAACCCACACAGGTGCCTTTCGGCGGAATGTCGCCCTATGGCATTCTTTATCATCAAGTCACTGTTGAACATTTACTGTTAAGTAGCGTTTAGCAACCAAGTATAGCCAAAATTTCCAGAACTCATACCTCAGATGTTCAAAGAGTGTTAACATGTGTCGCCAAATGGAATTTCTGATCATTTAGCCATGGTTTGGTAGCGTTTAGCAATCAACTGTGACCATAATGTAAAGAACCCACACAGGTGCCTTTCGGCGGAATGTCGCCCTATGGCATTCTTTATCATCGAGTCACAGTTTAATAGCGTAAATAAGCAACCAACGGTGGCCAAAATGTCAAGACTCCAAACTGGTGCTTTTTGGCTGAATTTCGCCCAATAGGATCTTTGATGATTTATCAGTAATGGTTGATGTTTATGTTGATTAATTATTACTGTCTGAAAGTGAATCCTGTGGGAGAATATTATGGGGTTGGTTCAAACAAGTTTTAGAATTTTTTTCCTTAGCGCTAATGGACCCTAAGGGACAACTTCAATTCATCGAACTAAAAGTTTTCAATGTTCATAACCATTTTTTAACTGTCAGAACTCTCTAGACCACATTTTATTCATGATGAATTTAAAGAATATCGCTGTCAAAAGTTGAGTTCTCCTTCAATTTAGCATTTTTTGTCATTACCTTAAAGACCATACGGAAAGTGCTAAATCTACGGAAAACTCAACTTTTCACAGCGATATTCTTCAAATTTATCATGAATATAATGTGGTCTAGTGAGTTCTGACATTTAAAAATGGGTATGAACATTTAAGGCTTTATTTTCCTTGAATTTAAGTGGTTTTTCAGGGTCTACGGTAAGAAAAAAAAGTCTAAAACACGTTAAAAGTTACTTGAACCTACCCTATAATGTTGAGCTATGACTTCAACTTTCATGAACCCTTACTTGTGCCTTTCAGCTTGATTTTGCTAAATGGAATTATTTATGATTGAAGTCGTGGTTGAGTTTACTATGCTGATAAAATATCATTGGAAACTTTAGGTTTCACTATCATAGTCTTCTAAAAATAACCATCAGCATTACTGCACCAACCAAAATCTAGCCCAAAAAAAAAATAATTCGGCTGAAAAAGTGGGAGAAGTTGGGATGTGCAGTCTCAAAATAAAAATACCTAGCTGTGATTGGACATAGCTTTGCTTTCATTGAGACTTTCAAATTTTATGAATAAAAAACAGTAAGCGTTTAGCAAAAACAGTTAGTTTTGTCCTTACCTGTAGACCATACAAAAAGAGCTAAATTGAAGGAGAACTTAGCTTTTGACAGCGATGCTCTTCAAATTTTTCACATACCTATACAATGTGTTCTAGTGAGTTTGGATGGTAAAAAATGGTCAGGAACATTTAAAGCTTTATTTTCCATGAATGTAAGTTGTCGTTCAGGATAGATTCTGACGACTAGATCCTTACTAGAGTAAGGAAAGAAAGTATAAAATTGTTAAAAGTCACAGAAAAACGCGAAAAAAGAAAAAATTCGGAAAAGGAAGTCAAATTTACATAATAATTAAATTAACATAAAAATTTCGTAAAAAGTATTGGAAATTACGAACAAATGTATTGACGTAAAAACTGTATTAAAAAGAAAGTTAATTTTAATTAAGAAAAATAATCTTGGTAAATCAATTTCTCACGTAAATTTGACTCAAAATTCATTTAAAAAACAGGGCTGGATTTACCTACTTGCCGCCCATGGGCCGGATTTACCTACTTGCTGCCTATGGGCCACCTGTATTTTGCCGCCCCCTTCTCATTCGTTTCGAAACATCAATAAAAAACAACTTAATCGGCCCGAAACAGTAACAGAGAAACAACTTAAAACGGGACTAAGGCCGCAAATAATAAAAAAGAAACACATAAAATATAATAAGAAACCCGGGACGTTTCGCAGGGATCACACCCGCATTTTCAACCGGCAAAACAAGAAAAATTAAAAGAAAGGACACTATGCCCCTCACTACTAGCAAAAGTTCGCACGGAACTTTGCGCGAAAGTTAAGTTCCGTAAACCTATCTATGTGTGAACAAGGCCTTCCATTTGTAAGAAATGAAGGTAAAAATTATGCAAGAACAAACATAAGTGTGGTTTAATAATTTTAACTTCCGCCGGCGCGCCGCGCTGACCGCACTGTATTTGGCACAATGCGTGAAGTATTCGTACAGTCTTGTAGGCGTTATGCGTTTCACGCCGACCGCCGCACAGTGGATTGAGTCAATTAGAGGGGTTGGACATGAAATTTTTGACAAAATCTGCAAATGTTGATGTTTATTTCGGCACATTTTAAAGTTCAAGGGGTGATACTGGAAGAAAATATCACGAGAAAACCAGTGGAACAGCTTGTAGAACATTAGGTTCTTGTATAAACGGAGTTATGAGCGTTTTAAGTTCCCAAATTTTTTCCGACCTCTCTCATTGACTCGATTCACCGTACGCCGCGCTGAGGGCTTCTCCTTTTTATCTCAAGTCCTCATCATCACTGCTGCACCGCTCCATGCCAAATTGAGTGTTTAGTTTCTCTCTTAACTCGACTAATTAAAGGTGCTGTCTCTTGTGTCACCGAAAGACGCTTTCTCGTTTGTAATTTTTTTTTTCTGAATCCGATTTTTTTTAAACCTACATTTTAAAAAAATGCAAAATTTGCCGCCCCCTGCGTTAAGAAATGAGAGATGCCTTACTCCATTACCCAATGCATCTGACGAGTTTTTCAATTCAAAAAGGAACGTATGACACTCCACAAAGAAATCACGTTTGAAGCGTAAACCGGATAAAACACGATTTGTCAAAAGTATTCATTAAGTGTTGCACTTTCCACAGAAGCATACTGCACAAAAATGTCACTGTAACGACTTCCGGATATGGTTGCGACCAACTTAAGGCTCAAAATTTTGATTTGTTCGCTCCCTAAAAAAATGGTCCATCTCAGTAACTATGCTCACCAAAACTGACGGGGGACTGACTGTAATCCCGGGGTCACAGGCTGTCGGTGGCCTCATTGTTCAGGGTTGAAATCCTTCCTCTTATTTAATTGTTTTTTTAAATAAACCTATGCTAGGACACTATCCCTGAATAACAAACAGACCAATTTGGCTGCAATGCTCCGAGCCCTGCACGTGTGAACTTGAGTCATTCGTTTTTACGACTTTTCCGAGGGTCGGTGGCCGCTAGCCTAGCCCCGCCGCCCCCCGCCGCGGGCCGCTGTGAGGCCCGCTCGGCCGCGATTGCAGCCTTGGGCCCCGCTTTGAGACCCGCTCGAATAAGGCTCAATTTGGGTTCGGGCTTCGGGTGCGATTATTCTATCGTCTAGCGACTGGCCACTGCGCGGCCCAACCCCTCGAAGACGCTCCGCGCCATCAGACTATCGATATTTTAGACCAAAATATTGTATCGATATTTCAACGTTTCTATATCGTCCGTATCGATACATTTATCTCCAGAAATATCGAATCGATTTTTCTTTCTTTCTTCTGCTGAGTTGTGTATTTTAGACCTCGGAAAATCGGAAATTATGGTCAATTTTTCATAGTTCGAATTTCGGATTTCGCTGGCCAGGTTGTACAGACCTACGTCACAGGGTAAACAAACCTCAAGATGCAAATACCTCCTTTTTTTTCTCTATGTAGGTATAGGACTTTTCGCGTGGCTGCTCGACGGTTTGTTAATCTGTGGAGGTTAAGCTACATTCACGCGTCGCAAGCAACCTGGCGCGTCTGCTACTGCGAGCGCGCCTTCATTTCCTCCCGCACGCAACAAGGACAACCGCGATGATAAAGAATTCCATTCGGCGAAATCGAGCCGAGAGCAGGCACCACGAGTATATACATATGGGTTATTTTAGTGATGGGTGGGATTTTATTTAAAATTCCTATGAATCCTAGGTTTAGTATTTACTGTAGTAAACAATTATCAATTATTCCATCACTTCTTCGGATTATTTATTTTTAATCAATCTATATTCATGTGAAGTGTAGCTCATCTGCATTTTTCTTTCCCTGGAACCTAAATGTATGTTATGAATTTGAATCCATCAGAAACTAAGTCAGTCAAAATCAAATTTAACTACATACGAAGTGAAAACGATTTGTATTTCGCAAATCAAAGTGATTTTTAAAGCAACCAAACTGTGTCAGAAATGTTCCCAAATTACTGGGTAAGGCTTTTATCAGCTCATCATCTGATCCAATAATTTTAATTGTGGCATTTCATTCGGCATGTCGCCGCACGACTTCTATGATACTCAAAGTCTCACATATATAATTTGAAAGGGGGGGGGGGTCTGGGGGGGCGGCGCCCCCTCAGCAGGTAGCTTTTGCTACTTGTTTTTCACTAGAACAAAATTGCTGCTTTTTTTTTATTTTTTATTTTTTGCAGTGGCACAAATGATGCCCAAAAGATTGCTGTTTAATTGTGAAAAGATTCAATCATGTCAAAATGTAATTGCATGAAATATTGTAACTTCAGGCAGCGTTAGACACATTCTAGTTACAAAAAGGGGTGACTGGCCCAAAAAATGTGCGTTTGATACTATATAAAATGAATCATCAGGTTGTATAATGTTAAGTATTTATTTTCTGGAATTCAGGTGAAAACAGGTCTTATCAGAAACGCTCAAAGCGGAAAATTTGGCTAATCTGGATGCAATCTGGTATAAGTCAGTGAAATTTGAATCGGACAGTTTTAATCCCAAAACATAGCAAATCAAAACTATGTATTAATAGCTCTCTATAAAAACTGCACACTTGAGCTATGGCAACTTCAGGTCGGTTAAATATTTTGGGACATTTTTTGTGTTGAAATATTGGTAAAACACTCCTCTGAATGTTCCATGCTGTTCCATGTGTGTGTGTGTTCCATGTGTAACATTCATAAATTTAGTTTGGCTTTTTTGGCACAAAGGGCCATTCTGCTGTAGGCAGCGCCTTATTATTGTTCGTTTCGCTTTTCTTAACATTAATATTTTTCTGTACAACTTTGTTTGTTTCAGATCAGAGCTTACTAAAGAGGGTATTGTTAAACTGGTTGTAATTATATTTAAAGCAAAAGTTGTTGAATTCTGTCAGACAATTTTATCATCGTTAATCGTTAAATCGGACTTGGGAGCAATACGAACTTGTATGATTATTAAATTTGTAGAGAATTCACTGTAAATACCGCCACCGCTACTATCAATTGTTAATTTTCGAAGACCTGTAATTTATTTTAGTCATCAAGCTGATTTTATATTGTTCATGTTATGCTGACCCAGTTGATTATTTCTTTAAAAAGAATGTAATATAGTTGGTCTTTCTCCAGCTGAGTCTTCTTCTTTTAATCGACTTTTTCATTTCTCTGGCTCGGAGAAATGTATCTTGTCCTTATTGTTTCAGTATTTCTGCAAGAATTTATTTTTTCCATCGAGAATTGTCTCTCAAATATGTCTGACAATTTTTGAGTCTTTCCTTACACGTTTATGAAAAAGCAAAGAAAATTTTAGGCAAAATTATGTGATGATGATTCTATGAAAAAATAAAACGCTAGTGAGAAATACACAATCAGCGCACTGAGCCACTGGACAAGGTACAAATTAAAGCATTCCAATAAATGTTTCCGTCTCAAAATATTTCGTAGAACTTGATCCACGCACCAAAAATTACTGAAATCGACTCCTAACAATAATATAAACGTTTTTATTTAGCACTGGTCAAGAGAAATCCAAGTCTTCTTAAATTAAATAGCGCACTGCAATGGTTTTGGTGGTGGTTAGGCTCCTCAATTGAACAGTATCCCTTCCCCACCTAATGTAATTCAAAGTGTATACAATGTGCAACAGCGGAACCCGAGCGCTGAGTTGAGGTTGCCATATTTTCTTACTGCAGAGATTGTCGCGGTCACGTTCAATGTGCAATTTATCACAAGTAGATCATTGTTTTTTCTATGAGTGGGAAGTTTGAATTTATTCATAGAAAACCGTCAATATCTTGGTGTGGAGTTACTTCTAATGATTTTTGTTTTATAAATTGTGTTCTACATGAAATTTGATGAAAAAACATGTACAGTAATGCTTAAATTTGCACCTCGTCTACTGGTCCGCTCAGAGCCCTTAACATGGCAAATGAAAATTGAATGTAGTGTTTTCCTGTAATTATGATTTTCGAGTTTTAGATTTCTCTCCTTCAATCATAAATTAAAAAGCAGTCCTCTCATTGAATTTCTCAGTAGCCTCTTTTAATCGATAAGGTGTAGTATTGATCATCAATTTTGTGCAAAAGTTCAGGATAAGGAATCCAAAGTTAAGATAACAAAATACGAAATAAGGTGTATGCAGAAACAACTCAAGTCTGCTTTAAGCCAAAGCTGATAAGGAGCATATAACTCCCCTCCAAAAGACTCTTTTGCATTTTTTAGTATGGGACTTGAGGAGGTGCAAACTGAAACATTTTTAACATGTTCTCTACTAAAAAATTTTCGTAACAGAAGGTTAACACCCCGGGAAGTTAAATTTCCACTCATTGAGAGGATAAGTAAGTATCAACATGTCATGTAACGATGGCCGAAGTGTGAAACCCTGTATCTCCTTTTGTGATGTTGCAGACTTCCTGTCATACTTCAATTTTTCTTTTGAAAACTAGTCAACGTAACATCTTGAACATTTCCTTCATTTCTCTTCTTTATCAGCAGAATATCCTCTGTAAATTCCAAGCTGTAAAGTTTGCTTGCTTCCCTTTGAAAAAATAAAGTAAGGAGCAAAGATTTTGAAACACCACAATACATGGTTTAGTACAAGATTTTGCGCTTTAGCCATCGAAATGCAGACAGATTTCCTTTTTAAATAGATAACTCTAATCTCCAGTCATCTGCCTCACTGCACTTTAAAATTCCAAAGTCCCAAGATTTGGAGGAGCAAAGAAGTAATGGTAAACGTCAGGCAGAAAAAATACTCCATTTTTTACCAATGCAAAAGAACGTTTTTTTCTAAAATAAAATTGAAAGATAGGAAAATATTGAATTAGAGTAGCTGTACAAGTAATAAGTTACCTGCGAAAGAGGAATCATACAACATCTGTACATTTTAAGGATACAAACTTATAAATAATCATGAAAATCATAAATGAAGAAACACTTTTTTGATTTTTTAATGTGAAAATGCTGCCCTGTATTATTATAGCTTGTATTTTTTAACACAGCACATCAATTATCATTTGGTCAGATCAGTTGCTTACTGCATTTGACGTTGTCTAATTTCCTTTCAAGTTTTATTTTTTTAAGAGAGAACCAAACAAAAAACACCGTGAAATTTAAATTTACTTTTCCTGGCTCATTGGAAAACTAGTCATTGTAATTTCTTGCAAATTTCCTTGCTTGTTCCCTTCTGTTGATAGAATATCCTGTATCGATTCCAAACGATCAAGTTGACTCGTTTCTTTTCAAGAAAATAAAATCAGAGGGGAAACCTTGAAATATTACAAAGGAGATAAGTGGTTTAGCACTTCAACCATTGATACATTGAATTTTACTTTGCTTTACTCATTATAATCGATCGTTTTCCAGAATTTTGATGGAAACTTTTTTCATCACTTTTCAAAATAAATTCACTTATCTTTATGTGAGAAATCTCAAAATTAGTTTCCTACATTGTAGAATTTAACAGTTTTTCTTTTAAATTTTCCACTTGTCCAAATATAACAGGCACTTCTGGTTGGGAGGGGAGAATTCTGTACAAACCAAAACATTCCATGAAGTGCACAGACCCCAGAAATTCGTTCGCGCGATGAATTTTCAAAAAGTCGTTTAAGCACTTGGACCAAGCTCAGAGGCATCATGGAGTTCCGTTAATTTCGAATACGTAATCGAGAACTACGCGAATTTCGGCATTTGACGCGAATTCTGGCGGGAATTCGCCACCACGAATTCGCGAATTTCGACGTAACTTGCGTTGTTTCTGGAAAATTTGGGGGAAAATTGATCTTTATCATGTTCGGAGCCGCCGACCATTTCAGTGGGCGGGACGCGGGAAACTTCGTGAAACTCCGGTTTCCGTCGCCAGCCAATCGTAGATTTTTGCTTCATTTTGCGGTTAACCACTGGCACTGCAAACCACGTTTTTCAAATCTAAAATAAAAGATGAAAAGAAAACACACATTGTCAGCAAGAATTTGGCAGTTAGTAGCGAGAATTTTAGAATTTTCAGTGAGAATTTGAGGACCCAAGTAGCAAAATGAGAATATTTTATGAAATAAAAATTAATGAAAAAAATTTAGAAAATGAAGAAAATGTAGCCAGTATTATGGATAGTAGACAGAAAATTTAAAGTGAGTGTCACTTTTTACCAAAGAAAATAGGTCTATTTCCTGTCTACAAAATGGATCTATTTTCTGTCTAGAAAATTGATAGGACCATTTCCTTAAGAAAAAATATTCAAAAACCTGATGGAAAGTAGAGAAAAATTGGATGTTTTCTTTATCTATTTCTTAGAAATTTAAAATTCAGAAAACAGGTAGGAAAAACACAGAATGTAGACAGCAAAATTGTCTGTTTTCCTTGTATTAAGTGTCCGGAACATATACAGAAAATAGAAGTTTTTTATTAATTTTCCTACTTCTACTTGATACATCTATTTTCTTTCCATTTTCTTTCTATTTTATTTTTCTGTCTAGAAAGTAGACAATTTCTAAATTAGTGCTAGACAGAAAATAGAACCCCATGCTACTTGGGGATTCTCAGCGAGAACTTTAGGATTTTCAGCAAGAATTCGAGAAATGCGGTAAAACTTAAACAAGAATTTGGCAGTTTTTAGCGAGAACTTTGGGATTTTCAGCCAGAATTTTGGTCATTATAAATCTTGAGAAAATGGGGTCTCTAGGATAGTGTGAATCTTGTGTGCTGCGCAGCACGGAAGACAATTCGCATTTTGACACTTTAACTTTTAACTTTTTGACTTTGGGATAGAAAGTTTTTCAACCTCAAAAAACCCTCCATTCCTGTAACAATTTAACGAGGGTATCAGGCTGAGAGGCACCACATTCTTCCGTATTTTTATGCTCAAAGTTGCTTCCATTTTTCACTTGGTGTCTGAAGCAAAATTTGAAAAGAGCCCACTGTAATTATACTCCTAAGAAAACTACTGGTAAAGGCTGGATTCAAGTAAATTTATTAACACCAGAAAAAATACAAGTCCCAACAATATATGGACAGCTGAACTTGAAAAATGCTTACCTATGTATATTGCAACACTGAATATCTCCATTCAGGTTTCAATTCCTAAGAAGAAAACTATCCAACGGTTTTTTTGTTTTTTTTTATGTGTTAAAAAAACTTACTGCGGATTTTTTTTAGTCATTCTTAAATATTCACAGATAACACCAAGGAGCTAGTTTAATTATTTAAAATAAAAAAAAGAAGAAAAAAACAAAGATTTTTAAACTCGGCAAGTGAGGTACCTATGCATTATTTGACTTGTGCTATCATTATCCTCTGCGGTAGGAATGTTCACTGAGATCTTTCATTCATGTCACCGTCCACGTGGGGAAACAGAATCTTAGTCTTGGAGGCAAAAGTTGTCCAATCTGGTTGAAATATCGGATTTTGAGATTTCGATGGAAAATTGTCTCTATGGCTCTGAAGAGTATACATGTCCCAAGCAAATAATTTTTGTACCAATAATAAAGTATGCAAAATATATTAAGGATACGAATAAGTAGGGGGGCAGAAACTTCCTAATTTTTTCAATCTAAACCAGTTGCATGAAATTAGGGAATCGCCAGAAAAAGAAAAAAATGAAAATAAGAATCCCTTAAACGTTTCGTAATTATCCTTTTTACCAGGGCCGGATTTACCTACTTGCCGCCGCCTTCTCATTCATTTTGAAACATCAATGAAAACCATCAAATGAATACGTGCCAGCGGGGGAGGGGTACATAAGACGCGTTTACTGGTGTTGAGCACATTATTTGGGAAAGCCCTGTTAACACTACTAGCAAAAGTTCACGGAACTTTGCGCAAAAGTTAATTTTCGTAAACCTATCTCTGTGTGGACAAGGCCTTCCATTCATAAGAAATGAACGAAAAAATTATGAAAGAACAAACATAAATGTGGATTAATGATTTTAACTTCCGCCGCCGCGCCTCGCAGACCGCACTGTGTTTGAAGCAATGCGTGCAGTATTCACGCAGTCTTGTAGGCGCTATGCGTCTCACGCTGATCGCACGGTGTTTGCCGCAATGCGTGAGGTATTCATGCATTCTTGTAGGCGCTATCCGTTTCACGCTGTCCGCAATGACAGCATTGTGTTTGATGCAATGCGTGAAGTATTCGTGCAGTATTGTAGGCGCTAATATGTGTTACTTGCCGATCGCCGCGACGAGGGCTTCTCCTTTTCATCTCAAGTCCTCATCATCCCTTCTCTCGAGGTAAGTCGCGCCGTTCCAGGCCAAACTGCGTGTTTGGTTTCTCTCTTAACTCGACTAGTTAAAGGTGCTGTCTCTTGTATCACTGAAAGACGACCAAAGTAGAAATTACTATACTCTCAGAAAATTAGAGATTTTGTCGCCTTTTTTCGTTTGTAATTTTTTTTTCTAAATCTGATTTTTTTTTATATACCTACATTTAAAAAAATTGCAAAATTTGCCGCCCCCTACAGATTTGCCGCCATGGGCCGTGGCCGGTGGCCCATGTGGCCACCCCCTTAATCCGGCCCTGCTTTTTACGGTGTTTGTGCTTGTTTTCTTTTTTATTATTATTTATTTTTTAGTCTTCAGTGTTTTCAGGAAGGTAATGATCAATTAAGTTTGAGGGAAGCCATAGAATTTTCTGCACCCTCATACTTATGTATGTGAGAGTGCATTATAAACCGAAAGTTCACAGCTTTTAAGTACTATGACTGATTGAAATTTCAAGTAGCGTTCCCTTGAAAGTACATTTTTTGAGCTGTGGACTTGACAATTATTGGACTTCATTGTAATACTTATTAGGAACTGGAACTACAATGTCCAGCCCATCTGTAAAAAAAAACTTATGCCCATAGGGAATATAAATGTACATACATTGTCTCTAGTGAGTCACAAAATGAAGTTCCATACTGCAAAATTTAGTCAAATTGTGAACTGCAGCTCCTTTTATTCTCAGGGTAGGTACATAAGAAATTACAAGTTATTATTACTATGTTTCCTCATAATTAGAGACACCCTGACTTCTATGGACAAAATGTCTTTTGAGTTACCTCAAGTAAGCATTTATTACCTATTGACATTAAGAGATCGTAAGTTGAAGAGCTCTCTCATTCCGAAGTTTTTAGCCATCACGCCTTCCCCGAAGTTGGCAAACTTTTCAGATGTGCAATAAGGGTAGTCTCCTTTTCAAATGTAGGCGCCATAATTCGAAGAATTGAAAAGCTGAGAACAGCAACAATCTAATAATACCAGTGGGGCAACTGTACCCACCCTCAGTACACTGTGATAATTATTCATTCTCGTATTTTCCCTTTTTTTCCGAGATTCCGGTTTTCAAAATTATTGCAAACTAAAATTTTGGAAATTGACAGTATTTTGAAGCAAATTAAAACCAAATTTTCATAATGCTTAGTATCTCATCTGTTGGTGATATTTTTCATAGTGTACCGAGTCCGAGAAATTGAATTTATCAAATGTGATTTTTGTGTGAACGTGTGATAAGTGTTTGTTCCGAAGGGCAAGTGTTTTCAGCTTAGCCTAATTTTAGTGAAATAAAATGGCTTTACAAGCTATTAAATACGACACCGGCAAACTAGAAATACTTGATCAACTGCTGCTTCCGAAAGAATCAAAATATATCTCCATCAAAGGCGTCGAAGATGGCTGGAGAGCTATTCATAACATGCAGGTAACCTCAAAATAACTATATCCACTCTCGTCTTTTTAGCCGGGCCGACGATATTTTCACTATGAAATCGGCATATAGACGACCAATCCACCATATGCTTGCGTGCGAGATACGTTTCCTCGAGCAGTACGGCCTCGTAAGGGGTTGTAAACCCACATTTCAGGAGGTACCACTTTGAACCCTGTTGATCATAAGGCCTTTGTCTGGGTATGCTTGGTGAATCCTGATCTTAACACGGCTTGGCAGCTTGCTCGCTGAAATTTTGTGCCTGTCGACTGGATAAGACATGACTTAGGAGAAATGGAGCTACGTGATCGGTCAACTTTAAAAGTCACCCTTTTTTTTTTCCTATGCCGGGTGGATTCAAGGGAAGGTATCGGCTACTCAAGAGGTGTCTTTAGTTTGTCATTGATTTCACTAGACATAGGTTGGATGTTGAGGGTGTCTGTTTAAGTGGACCAATCACATAGCTCGGAAGTCTCATCTTGTTCAGTAGACAGACACAGAATTGCAATCGTAAGGCTGCAGCAGATGAGAATCTGAGACTCGCAGTAGAGATACAGCGTTTGAAACTCGGTGTGAAGTCTTAGCAGCCATCTGGCCTGCAACATTTTTTCTTAGGGGCCAAACAAAAAGCAATGTTACGACAAAACCCGATACGTCACGAAACTTGTCGAAGACGGAGGGGAAGAATTGATAACATGACTCGACGTTGCATCTTGCAGAATGCGCTGAAAAATCCCCACAACGGAGTTCAACAACAATTTCCTCAACGGCTAAGGCGTGGCCGCTTGTTTCATTTCTTAGCGGCCAAAGGTGATTTCTCACAGGCAAATTGCTATTTTGCCGGCATGTTTTTCAAACACTGGTGGAGAATCGATGTGTGATTTGTATTTTGGTAAATGTTCCCAAGCGTACAGCTAGCTGTTAACCTTCAAGAAGGTTAAGCAGGATGTTTTTATGTCCAGATATTCAGGAAAATATCAAGCATTTTCACAATTGGTCTAGAAGTCTAGAAATACAAGATGCAAAGGTTCTGAAGAAGTACTTGAGTAGAAATTGTGTCATTGTTGCCAATAGCATTGTAACATGAAAAGTGTCAGGTGAGCGTTTGTTTACAAGACTCAAGGAGACCAACTCAAAATGAAACTTTTCGCCTATTTAATACATAAACTTCAAGCCCCAAAATGACAGTCTCATTTTAATCATCAACCTCAAATCCGCATATCCTCAGTTTGATTTAACATTTTTGGGCTAAGAAAAAAAATTGTGTGCCAACATTTTTGTAAAATCATCAATAAAAGCACCTATCTCCATAAGGCAGCTAATCTGCCACATTGAGAAAAAACACTGTAACAGGTAGCCTTCAAACGTGGCCAAATTTCCTTTTACACATCCCAAATTCCAAGGAAAATTTACTGACAATTTTTGAAGGATTTTGTTCATACTTTGATATGAAGTGCCTCACAAATTAATATTTCCTGAGAAAAAATTTGGCAACATTCGAATGCTCATACACCGTCTTCCTCAGCATGACAGTTATAGCACATAAGCTGTTTCTAAAAGAGGCAGAAAAATTGGTTCCTTAATACAAAATGGTGCAAGAAAAACCGTAGAAAGAAAGGCCTTAATTCATAACAACTCAAAATTAAGTCATCAATACCAGAACATTGAGGAGAGCCCTACAAAAATTCGAGCACCATAAATACTAAAAAAATGTTAAAGCAAATCAGAGTGATGGCAGTGTGGACAAATAAAGTACTTTCCCAATAAATAGCTCAGAGCAAACGCTACTTAAAATTCTAATCAATCATGTTCAGAGCACAATCGTGCCAAAATATAATAAAACTTCCTGCCCTCTACGGACACAAACATCAACCATACTGCTGGAAGTTCTGTCTATAAGACATGAGAGAGAAAGAGAGAGAGTTCTCTGTTGAAATTGGAAAATTCAGTTTTTTTGACTCAGCGTAATATAAACTCCCTCACTGAAATTGTTTCCTCATTAACTGAGATGTCTTCGATCTAAAGTGTTCTCAGTGTCACATCATCATTGTTTGTACAGCTCACTCTTACTCGGCTTTTAATTTTGCTCACAGGTTAGAGGAGCTCCTGCAATTGCGATAGTGGGATGCTTAAGTCTAGTCGTTGACATCTATAATGAAGAATTTGAGAAAAAGAAAGTGTTGCGCCAAGAAGTTGAAGGAAAGCTGAACTATCTTGTTTCAGCACGGCCGACTGCAGTCAACATGAAATTAGCTGCTGACGACCTGCTTAATATGGCCAATGATTTAGCTAAAGATGAAAACATTTCTGTCAGTGAAATGAAAAACAGGTGAAGATTTATGCTAATTTTGTTAAGATACTGCATAGCGACGGCGAATCCACCAGACCACGTATCTCGTTTGCGGTGTTTAAAAATCTCCGCTCCCATTTTATTTTTTTGAACGAGAGGTAATCGGTTTCATTCCTTGAAGTTTTCACGGAGTGTTCTTCGCACAGTGAAGAAAAACCAGGGAAGTTTTCGAGAATTGACATTGAGTGGTTTTCCATTGTAAAAATAAAGAAAGACTGGAAGTCTGCAACGTCGCAAACCGAGATACGTGGTCTGGTAGTTCCACCGTTGATAGATATCAAGATTATTTCCACTAAGATGGAGTGTGATTTCGCCAACATTTGTGCTCAGACAAGCTTTTTTTTCTCTCCATAAAGTGTTATCAGTTTTAGACTGAATTTGAATGCACATTGGCCAATTCACGGAAACTTTGTCTAAACAACTCATATGTTGAGCCGCTGTTGGTTTAACCCATTGACTTGTGATTTAATTTGACCCTGCCGGGCCAGGAATTACGATTCAATTTGGCAAAAATCAGTAACTTCAAACACATCAAAATAATCCGAAAATTCCCTCTCTGAGGGTCAGAATTGACACCATAAGCATTCACTATACAATGTTTGAGAAATATGGTGAAAACTTTGAACAAAATTATTTTGTAACTGTGGTTTATCGCTGTCAAAGTCGCGAAAATCAGAAAATTTTGAGGTTATTTCATGTTCAAACGCATAATAATGAAAATACCATATCAAAACAAAAAATTACAGTACACAATGAGTCGAAGGTGGTCACGCTACTCTTATAAACATTGATGAGAACGCAATCTACTGGAGAATCGCCAAATTAAAGCAAACAATCGACATACGGCTCTGAACCGTCTCTTCAGATTTGGCTCAGCGCAGCGCAGACGGCTGGGAGCCATCGGTTCAAACAAATGGGTTAAAAACCCGTAAGGTCTGAAAATATGATGTCGTATAGTTATACTTCTAATACAAATAAAATAAAAAAAAGAATGTATCTCTCTGAAATGTTCACACACACCAGGTTATATTGTGAAGAAATTTTCTCTATTAAATTCAAATTGGTCACAATTTTTCCAGAAAATTTGTGTTCTGTTGGAAGAAATTTGTTAAAGTTCAAATGTAGGAGTGCAGAAAGTTCGAAACCTTCCCTTAAATTGACTTAGCCTTCCACCATTTTTGACCAAAATTAACCAAAAAAATTGAATCTTTCCGCCTTTAAATTGGCTTAAAAAGGAACTTTTCATAAAAATTGAATTGGGTTCCACCCTTTTTTTCCTCTTTCCCCACAGAATGTTCCCCCATTTCGCGATGTCAGGCATGGTTGGGAAGTTTCTGCATCCGTGCTTGAATGTTCATTGAACAGGATTTCTCAGCGCAACAGCACAAAGGGAGGAGTCAGTTTAGTGTCTTTTTTTAAAATTTTTTACAAGTGATTGATAAGATTCTTTTATTTTTCCTGGTAGATTCATCAAAGCTGTCGAAGAAATGCTAGAGAAGGATGTGGCAGATAACTCAGCGATCGGACAACACGGTGCTACGGCAATTCTCAACCAAGATAATGTAAGGAATGGTAACGTCCGCGTTCTAACGCATTGTAATACTGGCTCACTCGCTACCTCAGGTTATGGAACTGCTCTAGGTGTCTGCCGATCTTTAGCATTTCACAAACGACTAGGTAAGATGATTTCTTTCTCAAATTGTACTTCTTTTTTTTTTACATAATATTTGCAGCAAGACCTGGACTTACTACTGATATCATGCATGCAGGTGCAGGGCTTTCAAATCATTGAAAACCTGCAAACAGAAGGAAATTTTACTTTAAACAGTCCCGAAAAACAAAGAGGTATCAAGGTTTTTTAATACAAGAATAGCAGTTCAATAGTTTTCCATTTAAAATATAAGGTACCATAGGAATTGAGCAATGGCACAAACCAAGATACAAGGTTTTAGAGTTTCACCATCGATTTGCCATTTCAGCTTTAGAAAACCTGAAAAACTCTAGGAGTTTTTTTCTTGAAGTCTTTAGACAAAGTCCCAGTGTCCAATAAATGTCTGGTTGAGACAGCAAAGTCAGAAGAAAGAAATACTTCCTAAAATCTTTAAAGACCCTAAATATTTGTAAGCTTCGGATTTTGTCTCTAAGTCAGTGGAACATTTCCTTGAATGCAAAACTAGTTTGTGATCTGTCTGGAATCCATGAGGAAAGGTGATAAACTTTTGGAGGATGGCTTGAGATGAGAAATGCTCAGAATTACTTATGCTCTGTCTCACAATTCTGCAAACGTAGATCATTGCATGGGAACTTTATGTTTCTCGCCTTTTCACATTAAAATTCATTGTTAAGTGCTTGTTGAATTTCGTGTAGAGACATGTAATCTAGACATGTACAGACTTGTTCAAAGATGTAGAGCTTATGAATTTATCGTATCATTCTTACTAAATAAAATACAAAAATCAATACGTCTGTGATAAACAAAAAATACCCTCGGTTCAATCAGCCTCTGAATCTGATTGTGTGTTGATTTTGTGCAAGTGTGAAAACTGGTGAGGGCGAAAGTCAAAGGAAGATTTACCCGTGCAGGTGTTCATGGTAATTCTCTACTTTTGACCTTATGAATGAAAGTAACAGATCTTGGAACCTCGTTTTTAGGAAGAAGCTGGACCATGGTCAGAATTACTGCCGTCATAAATTGCCTTGCAAATTTTCAGCTCAAAATATCACTGAATGGCATGAAAATGGATTTTTTTAACCGCTGAACATTGTCAGAAGGTGGCTACCGCAAAACTTACATGTCCTGTTTTTAGCATTGAATAATAGTTTGCTTGAGTACACCGGCATTCTTGATTACTCCCATTTTTTTAAATGGAGAACTACCTCACAACAAGGATATACCCTCCTACTGTTGTAATAGCAGTAGCTTTATCAAGTAAAAGTAATCTTTCTTTTTGATTATGCATTAACAAATCAATAATGGAAATTTGACATTTTTCCCAATGACTCAGTGAGTGACATAGCCCAAATTTTTTTACGACTGAAGAGAATTACTTTTTGTATCGTAAGGTCATTTTTCTACTTTGATATCTCAATATATGAACGATTTTTTCTCAATTTTCTCTCTACCTACATTTAATTTGAAAACTGCTTCATTTTAAACACATCAAGCTTTCATATTATGTACTGAGAAAAATTCAAAATTGCTACCCCTTGCAAATTTCTCATGGGAACGATCGTTAGTATTTCATTTAATTTTTTTTTCAATTGTCTGAATTGAATACCGAGCAGCACCCTTGTTTTGAGTCAATGACTGTCAATTATCAGCAATCTGCAATGTGTTTGTTGCCCTCATCGTCAAATACTCAGGGTATTTATCGATTCTTCTATTTTGAAATCATCTTATCTATTGAGGCTTTTCTTTGGTTGTGCAGTGTGTTTTCTTGTTTGTGCATTGACTTGTGACCTTGAGCTCTGAGAACTGATATTGGTGGTGTTTTCTGTGTTTTCGAAGACTTGACCCCAAGTCTACCATGTGTGTTGAACTGTCGATGATGTGTTTGCAGAACACGTCTACTGCACGGAAACGCGGCCGTACAACCAAGGCGCCCGCCTCACCGCCTACGAACTAGTCTACGATAAATTACCTGCTACGCTAATCTGTGATTCGGCCGTCTCGTATCTCATGAAGACGCGACACATTACGGCCGTCATTGTCGGCGCCGACCGCGTCGCCGCAAACGGTGACACCGCCAACAAAATCGGAACCTACCAAGTAAGTTTTATTTTATTTAAACAAATTTTATTTACAAATACCGTAACTACCACAAGAACTTTATCCACGGTGAAACTCCCAGACCACGTATCTAGTTTGCGGTGTTCAAAAATCTCCGCTCCCATTTTATATATTTAAAGGAGAACAAATGCATATCATTTCTCTTGAAATTGGTCAGTTGCGCTGAGCTGAGACTTGTTCTTGTCAATCGGCTAAAAATATTAGTATCTGTCCACACAGCAACTATTTACGTTCAATATTTACTGAGATATCGCGCTCGGAAAAATTTGGTTTGTGACATCAGCCATCGTGGGAGTGGCACCTTTGGTTTCCTTCACCTTAATTTCATCCGAGTTACAGGTCGAGTAACCGGAGGAAATGTGTGTTTCCTTGAGTAATAAAAGCAAGGTGGAAGAAACTAAGTGTGTCACTACCGCGGTGGATGACGTCATGAACCGAATTTTCCAAAGCGCAATATTTCCATTGATTTTCAACATAGAAAGTTGCTATTTGGACAGATCTTATTATTTTTAGTTAATCTACAAGAATCAAGCATCAAAGCAGGATCCTTAGACCAGCGCAACTGACCCATTTTCACTGAGTTTTCTTCCCATAAAGAAAAAAAAAACACAGAAGTCTTCCGGAATTCAAGTTGAGAAGTTTTCCATTTTAAAAAGAAAGTATGACAGGAAGTCTACAACATCATAAACGGAAATACGTGGTCTGGTAGTTTCACCGTCGATAGGCCTTGTATTTATCCACATGAATTAAATTGAGGTAAATTGAATTTACGAAGGTATTAAGAAACGAAGTAACATTACATAATACAGATTATCTACAAGAAAAGGAATTTTCGAATGGGTCAGTTGCGCTGATCACAGAATCTTTTTTTGTCTGGAAGTTCTTGAAGTTAAAATGTAGTACTGAATCTTATGGCTCTTACAATGTTTAAGCTGATTTTGCAAGGGTTTTGCAGTACATGTTTTTTGAAAAATTTACTCGGAAACAGGTTTTGTTCGGTCAGCTGTATCTCAATTTTTCTAAAAAATTTCACCTATTTCATTTATCAAAAACTTTTCAACTCAAGGCCCTCTCAAAGCTCCTCAGCTTTTGATATAAAGCTCAAATGTTTTTCAAAACGTAATCCATTTATCCAAAAAATTCCTCTCCCTTATCACCGGTTTCACGGTCTTTAAAAACCAAAAATTATGCAAACGAATACAATTAAAATGAACTGGAGTATTTCTCTTTATTTGACTATTTATTTTAACCAAGCTTAACAAAAACAAAGCAGGTCCAATGAAGTTTGAACCCAAAAAAAGAGATTCAAGGTTTATATCTCTGTAAGATTCAGTTTTAATGACAAACATAGATGAGTTTCACATTCATAATTTTTTTTTCAAATTTGAATTGGGTGTATTCAAATCCTAAAGAACTATCTCTACCGTGACTGGAGATAGTTCTTTTTGATATATCCGCATTAAATTTTTGACAGGAGAAAATTTATGACTAGTTGAAGTCAAAACTACACCTACTACACATGCAACCTGAAGGATTTCTGTTAAATTCTGTCCACTTAATTTGCTCGTCTCTTAATCAGAGAGAAAAGAAATGAGTGTAACTTTTCGATATCATGAGCTCAGCCCTATTTTGCATCCAACCAGAAGTTTCTCCCCTGGGGCCACTGTAAAGAGCTATTCAGTGACAGTACGAATGAATGTTACAAGTTAATAAAGTAGTCAAGGAATGTGCGCCATAAAAATATTCTACCACCATATTTTAATTTAAGTCATGCTGGAAAAAGTTGAATAATGCCACAACCAACACCTCTTTGGAGGCCTAAGAGCGAGCACATAAAAAATAAAACTGTAAATAATCTGTTCATCAGTATGAATCTGTAATATATTTCATTAGATGGATAAATTGATCATTGAAATCAAGTTTTGTTGGACAATTCCACGGATCCTGCGTTGTCACATTGAAAGGTTCCATTCTCACGAGTTTTTTCCATGAATTAACCTGGAAGAATATTAAATTGTTGAATTTATGCTTTTTGAATTTTTTATCGTCATCATTACTCAGAGTGTAAGATACATAGTTTTAAAGCTTAATATCAGACAAAACCACCAGTTTCCGGAAACAGCTCAACGTTTTGACCACGAAGGTGTTGTCTCCTTCAACTTAGAAGCAAATAACGTATTTCTTTTTCGTGATATAGCCTTTATTTTGTCTTTGTTTTAACCTTGTGCGTATTTTTACAGAAGATAAAGTCTTCAGGACCACTTTAAACACATAGGAACCAAGACGCATCAACCATTGCCAAAGGACTACGTGCAAAACGGGCCATTTGGGGCTCGGGGCGGATACCTTTGAGACTTGCCCTATTCATTCACCTAACAATGCCCCATCTTTTCCCAAAGTTTCAAGCCCCCCAAAAATTTTGGGGAGACGCGGCGGGGGGTCAAAGTTCAAAACCGGCAAAATTTTCGCGAATTTATTACTCGAAAACCAAGAAGTTTTCGTAAACGCGGTTTAAACGAGCGTATTCAGCGTGACGAGAGCTTTCAGAAAATGTATAACATCATAGGGTTTTGTCAACTTCAGCTCGAGTTATCGCCTCCGAAGCGCCGGAACGCTCAAAAGAGACCCCTTATTTTTTCACGTTTGGGCCGATTTAAAAAAAAGCCATTTTTTTAATTTCATGAAAAACTGATATGTTGTTCCTGACTCTCTGTAGCCCCTCTAGCTCTTTACCGCATGCTGGGGAAATGTTTTGGTCGCGAGTTATAAGAGCGGAAAGGAGCGAAGGTCGGGAAAATCGGCTATTTTAAACTGCGCGCGCGGCGTTGATCGGAGGGAAAACGTCCCCTCCCACTCATTTCGGTGAATCACACTCCTCTGCCGACCTCGCATAGTTGCCACATGGCTCCTGATCCGTCGCCGCGCGCAGTTTAAAATGGCCGATTTTCCCGACCTTCGCTCCTTTCCGCTCTTATAACTCGCGACCAAAACATTTCCCCAGCATGCGGTAAAGAGCTAGAGGGGCTACAGAGAGTCAGGAACAACATATCAGTTTTTCATGAAATTAAAAAAATGGCTTTTTTTTAAATCGGCCCAAACGTGAAAAAATAAGGGGTCTCTTTTGAGCGTTCCGGCGCTTCGGAGGCGATAACTCGAGCTGAAGTTGACAAAACCCTATGATGTTATACATTCTCTGAAAGCTCTCGTCACGCTGAATACGCTCGTTTAAACCGCGTTTACGAAAACTTCTTGGTTTTCGAGTAATAAATTCGCGAAAATTTTGCCGGTTTTGAACTTTGACCCCCCGCCGCGTCTCCCCAAAATTTTTGGGGGGCTTGAAACTTTGGGAAAAGATGGGGCATTGTTAGGTGAATGAATAGGGCAAGTCTCAAAGGTATCCGCCCCGAGCCCCAAATGACCCGTTTTGCACGTAGTCCTTTCATGGTACAATTTATTTTCTTGTCAGGAGAACAAAAGTGTGGATCATTTTGAAAATTTGAGGGGATATCCCCTGTGATGTGAAGCAAATTTCTTGGAGGTATCAAAAGAATCTGTGCAATAAATAAATCGCCCAATAAAATTTGGTAATGGAGTTGTAACTGGGTTCCTTTTTGCTGAACACGGTCTTTTGTAGTCCTGCAAACTAATTTATAACTGAGCTCATTTTTTGCAAGTAGTAAATAAATGCCTAGCAAAGTACACGATCAGGAACTTGAATTTTATTTTCAAGCATGGAAGACTGTTACTCCAAAAAAAAAATTGTGCTCAAAATGTTTGGAAAGAGCAATGCTATACTTTCTCAATTTTTTGGCTTTTCAGATCGCGATTTGTGCTAAGTACCATTCAGTGCCATTTTATGTAGCTGTTCCACTCACGTCCATAGACTTTAGCATGCCAAGCGGGGACCAAATTGTAATAGAGGAAAGACCTGAGAAAGAAATGACTTACATCTCAAACGTTAGGATAGCTGCGCCTGGTGAGTGAACTTTTTTTTAAATTTTCTTTTATTTTCATCGTTTCAAATTTTATTTTATCCTCCCCCTCTCCCGACTTCACCACCGTAATCAAATTTAGAAAGCTGGAAAATATGAGCGGAAGACGAAATTGTGGCCCTGAAATTGAAGTAAGGACTACGAAGAATGGACTTCACTTATAAGGCCTTAAACTTTGAATCAGAGAACTGAAGTGGAAGCAATTGAGGAACAGAGAAAGCTATGCAATTACCAAATGAAAAGAATCAATCAATTTGTTTTTTAATCATTCTCATTTTCAAGTTTGTTGCAAAATTTGTATCTTAAAAATGGAAATTTATTTTTAGGTCGGAAACTTATTTTCTTTAACTACATGCATCAAATTTTCATCGGTTAAAAGGTTTTATTAAAAATATAGCAACAGCTCATTGGGCTGAAATTGAACATTCCAAAAAACAATGAATATCATCAGACAAGACCAACTGTTTACGAGATTCATGAATTGTCGATGAACGAAAATTTTCCAAAGGAAGGAAGATTAAGAACTAGAACCGCCGCACTCTGCGACCTTCTGTGGACAAAAATCAAAAATTCACAACTCGATTTCTGAATATTTTTTTTGGAGTTTGTCACCTCAAAGATATTTCTAACTCACAATGATAGTTCATTTTAAAATTTTTCACCCAAAATTAGTTCAAATTTGGGTGGAAAGTGGGCGGAAATCACGATAATCACTGTCGAGAATCACTGGTCCATTAGAAAAACACAGGAAAAAGATAGCAACTTTAAATGAAGATTTCTCGCTTGAAATGCAAAATGCTCTGGGTGGTTGACATTTTCTTAATCCTCACATATCGAGCTTCAATTCCACCAAAAAGATTTCGCGACTTCTTGCAACTATCAGAGATATTTGAAGTTAAAGTTTGAGTGTTTCATGTTGCCTTTACATTGTTAACATAGGGCTAATTCGAGGTTGCCAACCTCAAATAAACTTTTCTCGAAAAAACGAAAAAAAAAATTTTCTTATTCCTTGAGTGTTTTACTTTGATAGTGCCAAAGGGTTTTCCTATGTCGGTGCTACTATCTTTATTATTTAAAGTTAAGTGTCTTTTACCGATTTTTGTCCGCATTGTCTATAAGGATGCCGCACTGTGTGCTGGCTCAGGTTTGATCATCGTAAAATAAGTCTCAGCTGCTATCTGCTTTTTTTAGGAATTAATTGTTGGAATCCAGCGTTTGATGTCACTCCGGCAAGCCTCATCACGGGCATAGTGACGGAACTTGGAGTCTTTAAACCATCTGAACTAGGGAACCTTAGTAAAAAATTGAATTCTTCCTAACAATGTAAGTAAGTATATTTACTCCTGGTTGTCCATGAGCCTTTTACTTTTTTCCTCTGTCACAATATGTCGCCTCCCGCACGAAGCAACGTATCTTGTCTGCTCATTCAGTATTTCTACAAAATATTATTTTTTTCATGGGAGAATCAGTGCACAAATTAGTCTGAAAATATGAGTATCTCCTCTCACATGTGTAAAAAAAATCACTGGAAATTTCAGGCAAATTCATGCAACAGTTCTCCTGCAAAAAATAAAATGTCACTGAGAAATACCGGAAATCGAGGTGCATTCCTTTGTGCAGGAGACAATAAGTAGGCCTATGGCACTTACACATACACACAGATGTAGGAAATGAAGTAGATTTTTTACAAGTAAAATCACACAAAAATCTGTTTAAGTCTATTCTTTAATGTCTCTTTTGTGTAGTCTGTGTGATACATTTTCAAATATTTCATGTCTGTGTTATCCCTACCTTGGTCAGAAACCAAGTTTTCTATGAAAAAGTTTTAAAACGGCCTAATCCAAATTATCGAACTATCTTGCAAACTGTTATGAATGTCTCTCATGTCATTTGAAAGCATAGATTTTGGCTTTTCTCTCTAAATGAAAAGAAAACAAATGTTTCAAATAAATTGAAATTTATGTAAGAGCAATTGAGAACTGCGGGCAAGATGGATCATTTATTCAGGTTGGATTTTTCCACTCTATCTCGTCAATCAATGGTGGATGAACTGAACTGCAAATTCTGGCCAATTATGTACCATAAGTTTTTCTATGCACTTATTGCACTTACTAATGAGCAAAAAATTGTAGTTCCTATAGAATGATCCTCTCTCCTCTTCTTCCGAAGAATATATCAATGGTTGTAACACTTAAATGTCTCCCAGTAGGTTTTATTTTTCTCACAGAAAACTGAACCAAATTCCTCCTGGCAATTCTGTATGATTTTTCACAGAACAAGTGAAGAAAATTCATAGAAAATCCAAGAGAAACTTTTGTCAATTTTCTTCTGATAATATGAAATATGGGCTGAGACTAACGTCCAAATCTGAGTTACATACTTTTCGGCTTTAGTCATCAATAGGCACCAGAATTTCTTTTTGTAAAAATAAGTTTTGAATAATGTTAACATAATTTCTTTTTGTAAAGATAAGTTTTTAAGAATATTAATTAATTAATTTCTTTCCTTCCCATCTTTTCTTTCTTCTTCAGAAAGTCTCTGTCTTAGTATGCACGCTGAAAGTCTCCGAAGTGCTTAATTCCATAACTTGGGCATCGAGATAATCTTTTTCTGAGCTGACGTAAAGCAAATCTAGTCAACGTAACTTCTTGAAAACGTCCTTAATTTTTCTTCTCTATTAGCTAAGTATTTCATATAAACTTCGAGCCCGTAAGTTGACTTCTTCCTCTTTAAAAATATGAAGGAGCTGAATTTATGGAACCCTGCAATGGAGATAAATGGTTTTACACTTAGTCCATCATAAATAAGGACCTATTTCAAAGGTAAAGGAAGGGGAAAAGGGTGATCACCGGAGATTGAGAAATGATGAAACCTCCTGGTCCCACAAATTATTCCACATTCTGGAATTTCTTGCACTGATAGGATTTTATTGGCATCTATTGGTTCATTCTTTATTTTTAATTAAGTTCCCATATTTTTTATTTTCAGGTACTTCCTTGTAATATGCTCATCTTACTGTAGTGAACTGGAACGAATCTACGCCAAAATCATCAGCTCTCAGCATTTTAAGGAGCAACAGAATCTTGAACGATACGTCTCTTTCCTCCTCTTAACTCTTCTAAAATAAACTGTTAGGTTATTTTTGCTCTTGACCCCTCAAATCTATTTTTTTCCTTTTTTTTAGAAAGTATTTACTTTGTAAATGAAGGTGTGATCTCCAAGTTCATCGCTCCAACTTTTAATTGAATCATCGAGAAATTCTCAAAGTTCTTGCATATATTTTTGTATCATGTCATAATCACTTTGAAGCTGCATGAAAGCGTCTTTTTGTACCAACTCCTAGAATGATTTAAATACTATAGCATAATTTTCTCATCGTAAAACTTTAGATTATTGCCTTTTCATATCAAATAAGATGTCTTGTTACAACACCCGTAGATTTTATCTCTCGAAAGAATCCTTCTTTTTTTTGTTCGGTGCAGTCATGAAATTTGCAATTTCCTTACAAGAGATAAGTTTAGCTGTGTTTATGAAAGTGAAGCCGGGCATTTTTTGGATGTAACAAAATCATTTTGATTTTTTAATTTATTTTATTTTTACGCAAGCGTTTAAAAAAAATTAGCTATGTAAGGAGTAGATGCTTGTCCGTGAAAGTTAGTGCATGGTACCCAAATATGGTAGCAAAAGTAATTTTTTGATTCAGTATCATTATTCAGACGGCAAAGCTCTTTCACTTATTCGCCCTCGTTCCTGGTCATTTTAATGTAACCAATAAATTAAAAACAGCTTCTTTCATTTGGAAAGCAAAAATGAAAGGGGTGGAGACTTGAGTCACGTATTTAAAATGCTAGATGGTTAAGAATGAATTTCAAATGAAAGAAATAACAATATAATTTGCACAGATTGCAAATACTTCCACGCTAAGAAAGAATGCCATACGAGCCTTCAGAAGTCGCCCATATTTCTTTCAATTAAAAAGGAATTACGGAAAATGGTGAATATTTTTCTTTAAATTTTTTAGACAACTTTTTCCACAATATCATCTAAAATATCTGTAAATTTCAAGGAAAAACATGCATAGCTGTATGTAAAAATACAAATTTTATCCGGACATTTGGCGACTCTTGAATGCTCATACAGCATTTTTCCACAGTACGTCAGAATAAGAAGCCGAAAGCAGTTGCAGATGTTAATATGACTGTGAAGGCGCAAAATGAATGATGTTGTATAGGGCTGTGCAAATATGAATTTTTTCAAACAAAGCGAGTAGCGAATAATTTTACCAATTATTTGCGAATAATTTAAGTCAATTATTCAAAACTATGAAAAGTAAAAATTGAAATGACTTTTTTAAGTACGAAAATTCGCAAATATTACAAAAGTCGACAAATAAGTGTGATTAACTTTTTAAGAATTTTTCATTTGCTCATACACTTGCACAGAAAACAATGGAATGCTACAATAGGAGCCTAGGCTGTTAAGAATGTGTTTGAAGATCCCTGGATGCTGGCTTGACTGTTCCTGCAGTTATGTGTGCATTCCCAGGATTTGGAGGTAACTGCGCAGGCAGTCAAGCTAGTATCTAAGGATCACCAGACACATTTGTAGTATTTTACTTTTTTCGGTGTTAATGAAAATGTGTTTATGAACTTTTCCCTCTTTCTGTCTTGGTTATTTAACTTTCAATGTGTGGTACTCTTCGAGCAACCAAGATAAGTGGACCAATCGCACTAGCTTGTGCTGTTCGTACACACGGTAAAGATCAAAGGAGATCCGCCGTTTGCGATGTCTTGGATGGAAGCCTGGTGCAGATCCTCGCAGCATTTCACAATTGCCACTCAGAAATTTGTTATTTTTGACAGCGAGACTGTTTTTTCCAAATGTTGGTTCGAAAATTCACTATTCGCGACAGCGCAAATATTCCCAATTTGCAAATAGTGCGCGAGAGTGAGACAAAGCAAATATTCACACAGCCCTAATGTTGTACGATATCATACTCTTTAGACAAGTATTTAGACCTTTAAGTTCAATTTTTTTTAAAAAAAAAGAAATTTTTGGTTAAAGTAAAAAAAAAAGTTCATAATTCGTACGATTTTTGTCTGGCTTCTACTTTCTATAAAGGGTTCAAGACAGTCTTTTTAACTGTGTACAGAAATTGCTCGATGGATTGAATTTTTTCAGTTGTAAATGTAGGCTTGCGAATCTTCAAAGATAAAGAATTGAGACCTAAAGATATAAGTCTCCATTCGATTCTCTTCGGGTAGTACAAAAATCTCTATTCTAGGTACCTTACTTTCAGTGCAATGGAATTTATATTTTTTCAAGTTGCAATTTTTTTTCCTCTCAGGAAAACCTATCGTAAAGTGTATTTGAATCAATTTCAAAGTATGATGAATAGATTGGATTAAAATATTGATTACTAGAACCAATTTCTATGAATTAGTAAAGGAGAAATTGTATGTCCATTTTTTGGTCTTGGATACTTTCCTTATCTTTTGTATTATATTCTTTTGTTTTGAAGCCCTCAATATTAACGGTAGGGGATCCTACATTATGTCATGTTAGAACTCGGACTCACCCCGCCTGTTAGCACTTATCTGCAATACATGTTGGCATCCTTTCCCTTCAAAAAATTACAACTTGTTTCAAAAAAACTCCTCTCTCCCTAAAATATGATGTAATTTGTGTACAGCCCCTTAGTTCAGAGCTGAAGGGAATCTATTATTTTTATAGTGAGGATAATTTTTTTTACATTTCTAAGGTTTTCAAATCACTCCAAACAGTTTTTTATTTTTTTTTTTACCATGGCTCATCTCGGCTCCAATTCTAACATTGAGAAAGAATTTATCTCTCTTGCCCTCATCTTTTCAATTAGAAAATTTAAGTTTGTTAGAGGGTGGCATTTCCACCCGTTTCTCTCGCAGAATTTTCATGACGATGGCTCAAGTGCGAAACAACGTATCTCCATTGCTGTGTTTCAAAAACTCTGCTCCTCTTTTACTATTTTCCTTTTTTTAATAGTAATTCAATGATATAGATTGAAATATATACTGAATTCTCTCCAAATAGAGACGAAAAATCAAGGAAGTTTTCAAGAAATTAAGTTGACATTTTTCCAAAAAAAAAAAAAAAAATCAATCAAGTATGACAGGAAGTCTGCAACGTTGCAAACGGAGATACGTTGTTTCTCACTTTGGCCAACGATGAGCTATCAACAATCCAAAACGAAATTGTATGACATCAACTTTTTTTGCCTCAAATTGCAATCATAAAAAAGAGAAAATCTGAGTTTAACATGTAACTCATTATTTTCTGTAGGTGAAAAAAACTCATCGCTAAAAATCGCTGTGCAGCACAGACTAAGCTTAGATAATTTCCTCTGTTTGCACATTGCATAATTTGGGACCATCATTACTGTGTTATTTTGTGTATCTCTTTACATTTGGCCTAAAGAGATTCCTGCATCAGCTCCATGCTATTTATGCTTGTGTGTTATGGACTCAAAAATTTGTTTTTTATTGGAGCGCCTCAAAATAGTGAAATTTTTCCCGAGTGTGAGGTGGTATCACATCGTATCTATTCAGGTTGATCAGTGTAAAGAGGCTGTTTCACTGAAAAGAAAAGTAAAGGGACTGTGTACCCACCAGCCAAAGTTTAAAACCTTTTAACTTTAAGTATGTCTGAAGCAGCGAAAATGTATCGCTCTTCAATGGTTTGAAAAGTCAAATTGTACTGATCCAGCCGAAATCAGCAAAACTGCATTGCTCTTTGATTAATGGGCCTTCAGACATGGTATGAATTAAAACACTATGGAAAATTTATTCTCTTCAAAATTTCACCTAGAATGAATCACACAACGCAAAGTCTGGAAATAAACTCTTAAAAGAGTTGTAAGTGTTGACGATTATCATTGGTTATTTGGCATGAAAATAGATGATTTCATCTGTAAAACTCAACTTCAATTTGGATTGCATTCTGCAATTTTGAACTGTAATCTGGTTTTGTTTAGGAATGACGTATGTACCATTAGTTTTCCTATACACCTACATGTTTTATGGATGCGCCAGAAATTGTGGTTCCTAATTGCAAAATGAAGTCCATTTCATGTGTGTTAAAAGTGTTTGTTGTTGTAGTGCTTGCTGAAGTTGATTTCCAAATTACTCATTTTCTGAATTGGTTTCTACCTAAGATTTTGACGAAACAACTCTCGACGTTTCTCCCTATTTCATATCTTGTCTAGTGACTCATTCTCTGTCATGATTCTTTCCGCTGTAAGAAAATGAAGCCAAAAAATATGTCGAAACTTCTTTGAATGCTCCACTAGATTGTGAAGAATGTATGTATCCATTGAACTTCAAAGCAAAATTTTGCTTAGTTTACGTGTAAAAATATAAAATATAAAAGAAAATGAGTACATGTGTGATGTGAACAGGCTGTGCCTGGTCTTTACCATGAATCATTGTTGCTGTATAATTAGGAAAATAATAAACTAGGAAAAGAACTTATAAAAATCAGCAGTCCAAATCGATTTTATTTTATTTTAAGCTGATGCAACTAATTGCATAAAACAAAACAAATACTGACCTCATTACTGTTGTTTATGTATTTTTTACGAATTTAGCAACGCGTAAACATCAGATGTCACCATTCAGCTTTTTTCTATTTATCAAGCGCATACTTTATTGAATACAGGGGATGGCTAGCTTATAAAGTAAATAAACGATGACTCTTAGTAAATAGCAAACAAATTGACTGTACAACTAATAGTTTTGAACAACAGAAAATGGTTGATTTTCTTAAAAATTTTCAGAAACATCAAATCTTTAATTTTCTCCTGGAAAATGAGGCCCCTCTCCTAAGATCCACTCACAAATTGCATGAAAAATTAATTGAAAATTTTTGAAAGAAATACTTACCTGTCTTATAGAAAAAAAAGAGGAAATTTTCAACTTCCAAATATAACAGTTCGCTGCAGCCAGGTAGAATAATGCATTTTGTATTTCATCAGCCGATAATTGCATAATAGAACTGCACTGCTATTGCAATGCTAAACTATGAATTTACATGCTTGTTATTATGATGCCGATGGTAAACTCGAATTATTTACATCAAACTGTCCGTTACTTTTAATCGTTGCATTTCACAAAAGTATAGAGAGTACGTAGCTCACTAAAATTTTGCAAAACGATTTAAAGGATATCAACCCACAAAAAACAAGTGCTAGTACACATATTCTTAGCTCACATTTAAATACTCTTGGCTGAGAAAGCCTGCATTTTGCAATAAGGAACTACAGTTTCTAGACCATCCATAGAAGCACCTATTTGCAGCTGAAAACTAACGGCACATATGCTGTTTCTAAAATGAGCCAGATATTGTAGTTCCTAATCGCAGAATGTAGTTCAACTTGCAATTAGGATCATGGCCGCATCGAGAGGAATATTCTCAGACATCATTTTGCCTTTCTCGGCAATGAGTGTTTCAATGGGAGCCAAAAATAAGCGTTTTTGAACTTGTTGTTTGCAGGCTAATATTGTTCAAAAAAGTCCGGGCAAATTCTTGTGAACTGAGTTAACTCTCTACTTTTCAATAATTCAAAAATTTAAAATTTCTGAGCAAGCTAATTCCAGAGACCTGACATCTTGAAACAGAAAGAGTTGTATAGGATGTCTCAGGTATTTTTATACATACATACCTATTTTTTTTTCCAGAACCTAATGAAATTTTAAATAATTTCAATGGGTACTATTCACTTTGTATTTTTGTATGGAATGAAAATGGCTCCAATATGTGTGTTCTTTTTTTTACTAATTAAAAGATGCCTCCAGTCTGTTCATGAAATCTCCCTTTTTTCTGTAGCCTTTCATGATCATTTGACAGGAACAGGAATTACTTAATGTCATCGAATTTTTATCCATGAGTCGTCAAACTTTCAACTTCAACAAAAACACCATGTTCAGTTTTTCATAGATGCGGGGAGCCTGAATGCTTCTCTTTTTGATAAGTCATTATAATTAGATCGTTTCTAAAAACTACCTTGAGATTTTTTACCATCTCTACCGTTCTGAACTGTTTTATAATTAATTACTTAATTTATTTATTTTTTAATGCTATTTATTTTTATCTCATGGATGATGAGTGTATTTCATCCGCCCATGTTTTTTCTAACCTTATTCTGAACGCAGACTGGCAAGTTTTGTAAACTCCTGATCTGAATAAAAAGTTTGGATTTCAAACTTTTATCTTGAACATATTTTTCACAGCCTTTTTTGTCATGTGTTGTACCTGAAAGTCCTTTTTTAGAGTCCTCTGTGCATCATTGAAATTAATAGACAAAGAAGGCACTGAGTAGTAGACTACATAATAGCAACTCACTAGAGACCCTATGGTTAGTCTATCATTCTCCACCTGAACGTATAATACCAACTATTTCAACCAATAGAATTGCTCCATTTTCCGGTCATCTCCTTTTTCTATCGCCTTGACCACCCCAAGATACAAAAAATTAACTTCAAAAGAGCAGCTTGATTGAATTCACCAAAATTAGGTTTCTAAGTTTTGTAATATCCCCACCATTTAACACTGTTTAGTTGTCAGTAAGAGCTTGTTTTATGGCTTTCAGCCATGGACTTATAGGGTTAAAGTCCTGTTTTTGACTGCTATTTTATTTTCCAAGATTATGTAACCATCCTCTAGATATTCTCGTGCAAACCTATCGCAAACTATCTTGTTTGATAGGCATCGATTTCTAAAGAAGACATGCTTTAACTTGACAACTAAGAGTCACATGTTTTTGTTGAACTCAAATAATTCCTTCGAATTGTGCAAGTTTAGTCGCACATCTCCTTTGCTGATCTAATGCTCATTTATTTACTGCTCGGTAGTTCAGTCAAATATTTGTCTGATCTGAAATGTCAGGGAATTCCTATTAACCTGGAAAAATCAAGGAAAGTCAGGGAACTTTGCAAGCAGCGTTCAGTAGAAGTTAGGGAAATTATAAGAAAACAAATCCATGGGGAAGTTGTGTCCAAAGGTCAGGGATAGTCTGGGAATTTAAGGTTTTGGAGCCGGAGAAAAGCGTAAAAGTCAGAAAATTGCAATAACAAGATATTATTGAAACCCTGCCCTCAGGGTTGAATAGAAACACGCCATAACGGAAAATGCAAGTTCAAGCATGTTCATCCAAAAGAAAACGGGATTATCTGGTGAAAATTCAATTTTTCGAAAAATCGGTGTATGTTAGGGAAAGAGCAGATGTTATTTTCGAATTTGGCAGCCAAAAATACATTGACACACACCTATGGCATGCTCAAGAATTTTTCTAACTTTCCCTGATCAGAGAATTTCTCCGGTCAAATGATATAATCTGTCCATTTACGTAATGTAAATTTTTACATCCTTTGGTCATCGTATTCTCATGCAAAACTGAGAGAGTCGCCGTTTACAAGATCGCAACTTACTCAAAAGCCGATGTGAATTCAATAAGTATCGCACGGATAAAATGAGCTTTCGTCGATGAACTGTGCAGGGCCGGATTTAGGGGGTGGCCACATGGGCCGCGGTCCATGGCGGCAAATTTAGGGGGCGGCCAATTTTGCAATTTTTTTTAATGTAGGTAAAAAAAATCGGATTCAGGAAAATAATTACAAAGGAGGCAATGCGACAAACTCTCTCATTTCCTGAGAGTATAGTGATTTCTAATTTTGTTGTCTTTCGGTGATACAAGAGACAGCACCTTTAATTAGTCGAGTTAAGAGAGAAACCAAACACGCAATTTGGCCTGGAGCGGCGCCGCACGGCGCAGAGAGCGCATATGACGAGGGCTTGAGTGAGATGAAAAGGAAAAACCGTCGTCGGCGCGGCGCGGCGGTCGGCATGTAACACATATTAGCGCCTACAAGACTGCATGAATACTTCACGCATTGCTTCAAAAACAGTGCACTCAGCACTTATGACAAGCGGAAGGTAAACGAGCAACTATTCGAACTCCGGAGTAGGTATGTGGTATCACGCGAAATTGAAGGAAAATCATTGCTCTGCTCTGCGAATCTCAAATTACATAATTTTCCTTGCATTTTCCGCGATACCGATGTGGAAAGCCCGTAATTTCCCAGGAGTGCAGGAAGTCCTTCGCTTTCACAGTTTCGGAGGCAGTCGTTGCATTTTTGGCGCGTATACGTAGTATACCGCCTTTGCGATCGTTTCGACCCCCCACTCGATACAATAACCGAGTCCCTTAGTTCCTTACCGAAAAGTGACTACCGCGAACTTCTGAGATTTTCCAAAGCGTGTAAAAAGTTTATTTATCCGTCAATAATTATGATTTAAAGTTGTTTCTCATTCTGGGGCTCTCTAGTTTATGTGTAATGAATACCAAGAGTCTACGTTACTTAGTTTTTCTTAAAAAAACCTTAGAATGCGACGCGCTGATTTAAAATATGCATATATAAGCAGAAGCAAGCGAACTGATTCGAGGATGGCTGATCAGGTCGGCACTCGTTGAATGAGNGACATCAACCTTTTCGGCCAATACTGTAACAATATTTTGACAGCTCCAAATCAGTAACTAATAAATACTGGCATAGTCTTGATATAATATTAAATCAGGATACATCAGCATTATATAAATACTGACACTACTGACGTGTCAGTACTATTGTAGTATTATATCAATATTCCGTGCTATGTGGGAGGTAGTGTCCCGGTCCTGGCTCGGTTCGCCGCGTCGCTTCCCAGCTGAAGAACAAAAGGCGACCCTCGCGGCCCTCGCCACAGTCAGACCTAATTACTTTCACTCGATTACCCATTTCACCGTCACGCTGGGATCCATCAAATTTTCGAAAAAATTGTTTCGCGAGTACTTTGCAATTTTTTCCTTACTCTCCATTCAAAGACGAATTGAAAGAGGTCTCATTCATAAAAATCGGCCGAATAGAAGAGAAGTTACAGTATTCGAAATCCGAAGAAATCAACGAAACTTCTCCATACAAAAAATAAAATGAAGGGGAAAAAAGAAATGTATAAATTACAATTAAATATAATTGACCTCAGAATTTGGCAAGCAATTCAACTAAGTATATAACGGAGAAAAAATTGGGAGAAATTACAAAAAATTCGCCTCTTGCAAGGGGCTTCCTTGTAAGAATTTTGATCTGAAGGCAAGGATTGAATACCAGCGCAATACTCTATACAATACAGGGTGTGCCTGAACGAACATTTTTTTTGTGTCAAAATCGAAAATTCGAAATATTTTTTAACTACAGTGTCTCTTGAGTCGTTTAAGCCAAAAAAAATTCCGTCAAGATTCTGGAAAGTAAAGGCGCTTTAAAAGTATTCTGGGGCTATGTATCCTAACTGTGTCCACACATGGTTTCTGTTCAGCATATCCATGTGTAAGTATTTTTACTCGTAGAATCTAATTTTCACGTCAGGGAGTCGACACATCTCGATTTTTTCCATTTTATACGGAAAATTGATGGTTTTTCGGGATTGAAATTATTATTGTTTCATGAAAAATAAATACACCCAAAATGACTATAGCATATTGATTTTTATATATTTGCACCCACGAAATTGATTGGTAAATTCAACGAGTGAGTGCATCCAACTGGTATATCAAGTTTCTGCAATTTTTTACGGCAAATCGGTAGATTTTCGGGATGTACATTGCTTACTTTCAATTCATGAATGAATAAAGCACGGACATGGTTGAACTTCTTTGCATGGAAATACGTTTAAAATAACGAAATCAAGACATATTTAATGCAATTGCATTTATATCGAGTCAATTTCTTTTCAATAATATATCGGGATTTATAATAATAGGTACCGGTGATTTGGATATTTTAGCCCCAAAAAGACCTTTAAATCGACTGTATCTTTCAGGAGTTCGACAGAATTTTTCCTTTCTTCGCTTAAATTATTCCGTAGCACTTTTCTTTAAGAATCTGGTTCGAATGGCTTCCTACATTCACAATACAAGGTCTCGTCAAAGTGCGTCGTTGAAGAGTTGGATCGTATGAATTCTCTTGTTGTGCTACTTGCCTATTTTAAAATCTCTGTAAATGAAAACTAAAGGGGTTGATATGTGTGAGTTAATGACGCGCCTTATCAACACATTGTGTTGGAGTTCACTGCTTGTTTGAGGTTGCCCTCACTTTGGTGTCCACCTAAGACTTGCGAGCTTCTCTGCTTTCTTCGCATTAAAGAGCACGCTTAATTATTTTTTTCTCATAAGAACGCGCGTTATCCAGTTTTCTTTCGCAAAAACTTATGCACTTACCTGGATTATGACTTCTGCTCTCACATTTTTCCTCCTATCCAGGTGCCGTGAGTGCCGTGACCCTTTTTTAACCCATTTCAGGTGCCCTCACATTTGCTACGCGATCGGTCTGCAACTCGATCGAGCTCTTTCAGCACCCATGCGCACAGTAGAGCGAACTATCAGTAGAGTTCGGACATGAATTTTTTTTACGCAATTACAAATTTTTTACAAAAATTCAAATTTTTTACAAAATTTCAAATTTTTCACAAAGTTTTTCAAAGATTAGAATGAAAATTATAAAAATTAGAAATTTCAACTCGAAGAACAAAAAAACTTCCATTCTACACATTATCCCGATGATTTTGATTTCCATTCATCCAGATATACTCGTTATTTAAATCTAAATTGTTTATAAATTTTTCACAAAATTTCAAATTTTAATGTCCATTGCGTCACAAATTCAATTTCAAAGGGTGTTTCTGGAAAAAAAAAAATTCACGAAAAAACCGATGGAACTACTCTCCAAATTTATAGTTTAATTGTTTCAAAAATATGTATAAGCTTTCAAAGTGTCCAGATTTTGCCCGACTTCTTCTATTCGCCATTAACATACATATATTATCCCTTTAATTATGGTAAAAACGGAGCAGAAAGTTAAGAACAATGACGCGTAGTAATACATTTTCGGTGATTTTAGCGTCGCGCCAGCCAGAGAAAAGAACGCAGTCAAGTTATCTTCGCAGTGTGACGCGCCTTCAATCCGGCAAGCGGCAATCTGCCTTCTTATGCCTGCCGAGAACGAATTCAAATAATCAAATATAGCGAGCGACTGCTCCACACGGAAAAAAGAACCTATTTGTTTACCTCCGACTGAAACCAGTCACCACCACTCAGGTTATATTTTTAACTAAGTTTTTTTTTTAAAAAAAAAAAACTACACAGATTTTCAACAAAATGCAATCCAAATATACTAATGGCTAAAGTACGGA